TGGACATGGAGCGGGGCCGTTGTCTGCAGTGGAGACGTGGCGATGGCAAGTTGCCGAGATGCAGAAGGGGCCCAGGCGTCCAGGAGAGGGGGGCCATGCTGGGCAAGTATGCGATGACGACCCTCTGCGGACGAGATTAGGACAGGGCCCTTCGGAAGGAAAAGAAGTTGGCCGCCGAATGGCGGGGGAAGGAGGAAGAACGCGCAGTTGAACGGGAGGTCCAGACGGCGAAGGCGCAGTGCGATGCCAGGGAGGTGGTTCGTTCGGAAACGATGGGTTCGACGGGGCCCAGAGGGTCGGGCAGGGCCGCGCGCGGCCAGAGCGCCGCGCTGCTCAGAGCGAATCGTCTGGTGGAGTCTGTGCGTCGGATCGATGAGTTCGAGAGGGATTTCGCAGGATTCCTGGAGATAGGAGCGCCGGCGTATCCCGACGCCGCCACCTTCGAGTTCGCGCTCGTCGCTCGCGCGCAGCACGCGATCTCGATGGGGACTTATGTCTTCGCAAGACCGGATCACGATAGCGCCGCGATGGCGGGCGCCCTGAGGAAATGCTATGCGACGCGGTTCAAGGGCGAGTCGGGCAAGGCGACGCGGTCGCCCGCGACCCGGGCCGCGCGTCCAGCGCGCCAATCGCCGATGGCGCTCCGCGGAGGGGCGGGCGCAGAAGTGTTGAAGACCAGTATCTTCGGCGGCAGGGCCAGAGACAGGGCTGGGGGGGCCGGGCGGCCCTGCGCGACCATTCTCGGACGCACGGAGGAGAGTAAGTGGGGACATGCCCCGCGCTGCCCCCCCCGACGGCGAGGCAGATGACGGGGCGGGACCTGCGACGCCTCGGGGGCCGAGCGCGAACGGCGGCTGGACCGTCGGCGACTGGGCAGGCCCCGACCGCCGCGGTGGGGGACGACAGAGGAGCGCGGGGCCAGTTCTCGGCCGATCTGGGCGCGGCCGGCGCACCCGTCGCAAGGGGGCTCGCCTTTTGCAGCAGCAGGTCTAGCGGCGGACAGAGCTCGGCGACAGCCAGTGGGCGATCCCACGAGGGCTCTGGCTGAGGCCCCAGGGAATTACGAGTCGTGTATAGCCAGGGCCTCAGGTAAGTGCCCCCGGTTAGTGGCAGGGCCCCGGAGCTTTTGAATTGGCCAGAATCATTAAACCAGGTCTGCTGTAGCTGGTGTTTTTCAAGCGACGGCAGTTCCGGCAAGTGGGGCGGGGCGGGGCGAGGGGGGGCGCCCCCCCAGTGCGTATCATTAAACCAAGTCCCATGCAACCCAGTTCTGCCCACGCCCGAACGAATCTTATTGCGACGTGGGCCCTGACGCGGCAGGGTCCGAGGACGAGCAGAACCGCGCGCTTGGGATCGCTGGATGGGCTCGGAATGACACCAGGGCCTGGGCCAGACAACCCGGTGCGGAGCGCCCCCGGCAGGCCCCCGACCGCCGGGGCCGCCGATCTTCCAGGGTCTGCCCAATCTTGGAGGACCGTCTCGGCCGTCGCCTGCAGCGCAGGACTTCAACGATCAGGATCCAGACAGGAGGAAGCCGAGCGAGCGAGTCGAGGCCTGAACGTTTCGATGAGCGAAGGGCGGACGCTGGGATGTCAGCGCTCGTCGAGAGCCCCGGCCGCGCCTCCAGGGCCGGCGCCGACGTCCGCAGACCCGGGGATGGAAATGGGAAAATGCAAGAGGCGTTGGTTGTAGCGACGAGAACTCAGCAGCAATCCGCCATGGGCGGAGTCGACAAGATCATCCAGAGTTTGGAGTCCCAGGGGTCGACTCCTACTTGTTGCCTATGGCATAGTTCGACGATCATGTTCGAGCCGAAGGTGAGCCGGCCGACTTCGGGCGATAAGCAGAGGCGCCCGCGGGTTACGAATGGTTTTCGCGCGAGAAATTTGTCGGGGCTTTTGCAGTGTGGCGAATGTCGCCAGAGGCAAGAAGCCTCGCGAGATGGCCATGGCCCTCGGGAACTGCCTGACGAGCAACTGGAAGATGGCCTCATCCAGGGCGCCAGGGGCAACGGGCAGTTGTCGGTGGAGTTCGGAAGGGGGCGCGGGGAAGAGGTCCTGCAGTTCGCGGGGGCGCCGGGCGATATCAAGATCAGGGCGCGCGCGGAGTGGGGCAATTACAAGCAAGAGACGAGGCAGTTGCTGGGACTTCGAGGCCCGCTGGAAAAAAACAACGGGAACGTGCGGGTCGCAGGCCTGGCGCCGCCGAGGCCGAGGACCCCGTGGACTACGTCGCGAAGATCTGGCCGCGATCCGGTTTGACATCGGGGGCGTCCCGAAGCAAGGCGGAGGAACTGAGCGCGGGGCGCCGAAGACCTGGCAATGCGCCCGCGCGGCCGCGCGCGAGATCAAACGGGTTCCTCGAGACAGCCAGGCGATGGGCCGCGACAGTCCTTCCGGGACCTATGGGTCCTTCGCGGCGGGCGGCGCCTCGACCGATTCGGCTGGAGACGCGGGCGGTGGCCGCGTGGATCGCGTGCCCCCTCGGGCCGAAGGCGTGCCGGTGAGCGGCGCTGCCGAACAGGTCCCCGACCCGCCTCCGCCTTGCAGGGTGGAGTTCCCTGAGACTCTGGGGCGCGGTCACCCGCTGCTCGAGATCCATCGCGTCGCGGATGAGTGCGCGGCGCACTCGACAGCGGCTGGGGCCGCGGAGGGCAGCTGCGAGGCGATGCGCGGCACGGCGGCCCCGGGACCTCGAGTTCCACAGGGCGACCGATCGGCGACTCCATCCGACGCGAGCTCGCAAGTTCCCGAGGCGTCGGCCCGGGGGGCCGGCGACGCGCCGGGAACTCCGAGGAAACGGGGCGCGATTGCGAAAGAGACACGGCGAAGGGATGTGAAATTCGCCATTGCCCCCCGAGGCGCGCGGATGACCCTCGAGCGCGGAGTCAGCAAGGGCGCAGGCCCCAGGGGGCCTGGCCAGCGACGGCGCCTGCAGCCGAGACTGCGGCGGCAAGCCTGGCCGAGTTCGTGGTGGATGGAGCGCTGGATGACCCCGGCGACTGGCTTGCGCGCATGTGTTTCGCGGGCCCGACTGAGCGCGCAGGGCGCAGAGGGGCGCGCAACAGGAGCCGTGGCCCGAAGATTGCCGCCAGCGTCGCGAAGACCTCGCCGCGCCCCCCCGCGAAGTCCAGAGCGCTGCGGGATCCAAGAGGAATGTGGATGATCGACGGGGCCGCGACCACGACCGTGGCCGCGACAGAGACCGCGGCCGACACCGTGACCGGGGTCGGAGACAAAGACCCAGGTTGGGGCAGTCGTCTGGAAGTCTGGGTTGAACAGGAGGCAAACGAGACCGAAGAGACCGACGGGCCTTTTGCCTGTCGTTCGGGAGCCGCGGCCGAGAGTCTCGACGGCTTAGACCAGTGGCATCGGCGGCCGAGGAGCGCGACGACGACGATTGGGTTGCGCCGATGGGACTAGCCTCGGCACAGCGGACCGTCGAGACCGCCGGCCGGCTACGGTGGAGCACAAGGCCCGTCATCTCGTGGCCACTTCCGAGGCACCAGAACGCATGAGGCCCCCAATGGGCACCGCAGGAGGTGATGGCACCGCAGGAGGTTAGGGCCTATCGGAGACCGAGCCTTTGTTGTGAGTTCTGGCGAAGTGGGCCTAGCTGGATCGGCGCAGGAGCGCAACCGCCACTAGGTCTTTTCCGAGCACGAGAGGGGCAGCCGCCGATCGAGAGCAGCATCGCGAAGAGGTCGTGCCATTGACCGCAGGGAAGTTGGGCCCAGTTGGCGGCAGATCTGAAGGCGTTTGCCCCAGAATGCCGAACATGGCCGGGAAACTGGCGGAGCTCCCCGGTTTTTGTTTGGTTACGGTCAAAAATGGAACCTCAGGTTGCCAGTGCTACAGCACGGTCGGTCTGGGGCCGATCTGCAAGGAAGTCACGTTCGATTCTGGGGCGGGTTTGAATACCATGCCGGAGGAAGCAGCGTTTGACGTCTTCAATGTCTGCGAGGCGACCGGGGTCAGGTTGAACGCCAAGCTTGACTTGTTGAGCCACCGCGGAGACGGGGTCGCAGGCGGAGTGGCCGTCCCGCAAATTGGAGCTGTGATCTTCTGCGCCAGACTTGCCGCGCGTGCTCGTGTTGCAGCCGCCGTTGGGGCGCCTGAGACTGATGCGAACGGACAAAGTTGGCGAGAACTGGGGGGGGGAGCGCGGTCTAAATTTTGCCCAGACCAGGCCCAGATCGGATAGTGGTGGGGGGCACGTAGGCTCCCATGGAACAGACGCCGAACCTGGCCCGCCGCCGCATAGGCCCTAGACGTGGTGGCGGGGGGCGGGGGGCGAGGCGAGGCTGAGGCCGCGGGCGAAGGACATAATTCGTGGCTGCGGCTTTACGGGCCCAGCCTTTGTGCCGCGACCCGCGGGCACGGCGCGTTTTTTCTGCATGCCCCGCGCGGTGCGTGTCCGTGCGGCCGCGTATCCGATGTATTGCGCCCTGGAATCCAGACCACGAGTGCGTGAATTCGGATGCGTTCGCCGCTCGCGGCGAGGGGGGGCGGGGTCGTGGTGGAGTGGAGTGCCGGGGCAGGAAGGGGAAATCGGGGGGTGGGGATCCACATCTCTTTCCCCTCTCAGCGTCCGTTGTGTCCCCCCCCGCCTACTCCTTTTCAGTGGCAATTCATGGGGGCATTTTATGCCTTCGAAATTCCGCTACCAGGGTGCGCTCGCGCGCGCTAGCAGTTGGTCGTCGATGCGAACGCGGAGTTTCAACGGTGGTTTAGCGCCGACGGGCGTCGTTCAATGCCGAGTCGCAATAATCAGCACGATGACACGGGGTGTTCGCATGAGTTTCCACAGAGTTCCGTCGGGCCGCTTCCGGCCATTTGGAGGGCAGCCAGGCTCACCGTGGGTCCTGTTAACGGCGTCGAGGCGTTTGGAACCTGTGTCCGAGCGATCTGGAGCCGAAGTCGGGTGTGGTAAAATTGTAACAGGGCCGTTCGGACATTCCGCCCGTCGGAGTTGCCTTCGCCCTCTCATGTTTTGCTCAGGCAAGGGGCTGCTGGGTGCGGTCGCGGGCGGGGCGGCGCAACCCATCCCGGCTCCCCGCCGGCGGCTGGCCCACGGTGGGCCCGCCATGCGTCGGGGGGCTCCCCGCCGGCCGATTTCGCGCGACCTGACCACGGACTTCCAGCAGAAGCGCAAGCTCCACTTGACCCAGCGCCTGCAGAGGAGCGGCGGTGGACGAGGGGGAGGGGGTGGAGGTGGAAGACTAGGACGTGGAGGAAGAGGAGGACGATGACTATGTGGCAAGGAGGGGGAAGAGGAGGAGCAGGAGGAGGAGGAGGAGGAGGAGGAGGAGGAGGAGGAGGAGGAGGAGGAGGAGGGGGAAGAGGAGGAGGAGGAGGAAAAGAAGGAAAAGGACAGGGACGACGACGGGAGACGTTGAGGTCGAGGAGGAAGAGATGAGGGCGAGGAGGAAAAGCCCGACGAACGGATTGGAGGTGGTTCTTTGTTCCCGGAGGCTCCAATTCTTGATGTTTCGCGTATCCCGACAAGTTCTGACTGGACTCGCGGTTGGCGGGCTCGCCTGCGGCCGCTGACTAAAAAGTATCCCCACCAGTATTTCCAACGCCACCCGGTTTGGGAGTATCGGTTCTGGCTCTCCTTCTGAGTGGCTGCCCGTTCGCTCGCTTCGCTTGCCTTTCTTTTCCTGCTGCCTAGTCGCGGCCCGACTAGTGTTCGGACGGCGTTCGACCCGCCTCGCGAGCCAAAAAGGATCCCCACCAGTGCAGTTAGTCCGCTCGCTTAGGTAATTAGGTTTGGCTCGTAGCCCGGACTGTCTTCGGACGCCGCTTGCGCTTCCGCTTGCGGTCGCGGCGGAACAAGTATCCCCACCAGCCCATCTAGAAACATATCGCCAGGCGAGTTGCTTTGACTTTTGGACGTGTGCAAGCATGCAGTGCAACAACCGCCTTGGAAGTGTTTTATCGGAGGTCTCCTAGAGCCACTTAGGGAACTATTGGGGCCTTCGTGGAGCTTTTTAGGGGGGGTCGAGGTGCCCTCCTGGGGCTCTGGAAAGGTCTGGGAGGCCTCGTGAGGCAATTTTTGGCACACTGTTCAAAAAGAGGGGAGTCCTACATTCAGCTCCCCCCTCGGAGGCTCAAACATGGAGTCTTGGGGCCTTCTTGGGGCGCTCTTGGGCGCTCTTGGGCGATCTTGGGGCCTTTGGGGGCCCTCTTGGGGCTCTCTTGGGCCGTCTGGGGCCATCGTGAGGCCGCAAGGGCCCGTCGGAAACGAAAAGACGAGAAGGCAAGCAACATTGATGTTCCGTTGGTTCGGGAGCTCCTTGGAGGGCTCGGAGGGCATTTGAAACAATTGTTTGGCCGTCTTGCGGCCTCTTGGATGTGTGTTGGAGGCTGTATGGAGCCATGGGGAGCAATCTTGGAGCCCATCGTGGGCTCTCTGAGACCTTCTTGGAGCCATCTGGGGCCATCTTGGACGCTCTAACCCCTCCGTCTCCCTCCTCCCAGGCGCAGGAAAAGAAGGAGACCCTTCCCCCGGGCATGAGACGGCAGAGGGCTGGTGGGATTTGGGGAGGCGAGGAAGCCCGGCTGCTTCGGCCCGGCGGCAGGGCCCACCGCTTCTGCCCAGCCGGGGCCGTCGGCAGAGGGGGACCGCTTCGAACAACCCTACCCTGAGAGGAGGAACAAGTACCGATGCCGATAGCCTTTCCTCGCGTTCGCCCTCCAGGGCCTCCCGAGAGTCCCACGTCGCCACCGCTGGATTCGCCTCGAAGTTCTGGTCAGAAGGCTCCTGGGGAGAGGTCAGGGGGGTAGCGGTATCGTTATCGTTTGATTGCCCTCCCCCGGCCCCCCCGAACGAAGAGCAGGAGTTGGGTTGACTCAGTGGGAGCTCAGGAGGAGGTTTAGAGCTCGCTCTCCCGCTCCAGCCACTTGAGTTCACGGGGCAGTGGCAATATTCTAGACCCCCCTGGGATCTCCACCTTTTTAGCGCGGCCGGCGCCCCCCCATTACTCCACCTGTTTGCGCCTATTTTGTCCTGCATGCTTGCTGAGTTCCTCTGGCTCATTGTTCGTATCTCGACGCAACGATCACCACCAACGTCGGAACAGCGTGAGAACGACGAGGAGGAGGAGGAGGAGGAAGGTTGAGAAGGGGGAGGAGGAGGAGGAACTCTGTTATCCTCAGCGGCGCGAAGATAATCACACTTCGCGCGTCGCGGCCAGGGCCGCTGAGCTGGCCTCTGGGTGGCGGCGCGAGGCCGTGACGATCATCGCGCACCGCGGGGTGCGACGCGCGGCGATCAGCCGACCTTTGCGGGGGAGCCATCGGAGGTCACCAGCAGAGGTCATTAGCCTTGAAGTCGGCGATGTATCGCCGACTTGGTGCGGATGTTCCCTCCCGCGAGCGGCCCCCCTCTTGTTCGGTGCCCCACCGAGCAGATGGAGGCAACATGAGGCGCGCTGGGGAGAGGGGGGGCGGCAAGCCAGGTGCGCTCGCGTCACATCTGGCATCCTATCCCTCGCTCGTATCCCTCCCCGTCGCTGCAGCCTCCTATCACGTCGTCTACAACAAGCATCGGCAGAAGACCGGCTGACCCAAACTCAATGCGGTCTCCGCCGTGGGCGAGGTACAACGGACGCAATTCAGGCAGTTTATACGCCACCGTATCGAGGTCGCACAAGCCAGGAAAGATGGTGAGACTACATTTGTTGCCCTGGATTTGACAACAACCATTTGATCCACAAATTCCGACTCTTTGTTGACTGCTCTGCGCCGCTTTGGGGTGCCCCTGAACATGCTCGCGCTGACGTAGCCGACGGGGCGTTCAAATCTTTGGAAAGATAGCACATGTCGCGAATATCACAGGGGTGTCCGTTGTCGCCATTTCTTTTCGTCATGTTGAGGACTCTGGTCTTGCGAGACGCCGTGAATAATTGTAGCGACAATGGCAGCGTCAATTGTGTTTCTGGAAATATTTCCGTGCTGCTGCGTGCCGACTAGACGCTACCCACCGGAAAAAACCAAACCAGCTGACGGCACCTCTTTGACAACGTCGTTTTGGCGGGGGCGCGGGTTGGAATGGAACAGCATTGGGACATATCTTAGATGATAAATAGACACCGGCGTGACGCTGAGGACGCCCGTGGGACAACCCATTACCGAAATCACACAGCATGACATAGTGTGGTGCTACGTGAAACTCCTGTGGGCAGTTTGGTACAGAGTTGAACAACATACTAGGGACAGCTTGGACCGAAATTTTCAAATATGACAGCATGATAATAGAGCGCCTTGAGCAGCCGGCGAAACCTGGAACTTTTTCAAGCACTGGTTACATCCCAAATCATATTTTCACTGAGCACGGCGTGGCTGAACAAAGGAGACAGGAGAAGGCTGGATGGTTTTCAAGCTCGATGCCTGCGGATAATACTACATGTGCCTCCCGCCTTTCTTACGCGAGAACCTAATAGCAAGGATCTGGAACAAGCTGGGCGAAACCAGTGCTGCGCGCAATTTCTTCAACGGCAACTTTTACTTTTTGGCATGGGGGGGGGCTCCAGACACAGACTTCCTTCGACAGCTCAGTTTTCAGCCCGGCGTTGTGCTGTCAGACGTGGATGCGTATCAAAGGAGGCGAGGCAGACCCAAACACGAATGGGCGAAATGTTTACACAAGGGGTTTGTTGTTCGTCTTGGTACGGCAATCACTTGGGGGCACTTGCTGCTGGGTCCCATCGGCTTGCGAAGCACATTGCACACCATAGTGATGAACCCGATCACTTGTACCATTCTGTAGTTTTCCATACGTTGTATGTGATGCCCGGTGCCTTGGCGTACTGTCAGCGGCTTTAGACTGGATGCGTTCCAGGCGAAATTCCGTTTCATTCGCCATCTGGTTGTCCTCCCTCCTTCCTCCTGCTGCGCACGTTGTGATTTATGCGATCGCCGTCGTGCCGCCGCTTTCGCACACCAGTGAGAATAGGCTGGCTTTGTTTTTGTTGTTCGCCCACGCGTTCCGGCGTATGGCATGAGTGCGCGAGTGAGTGCGGATGCGTGTCGTAGCCAATTTGCGAGCAGAGGCGAGGGGGGGGGAGCGGCGGCGGTAGAGTGATCGACGCCGTGTTTGGCTCTTTTCGGTTCCGCCGATTCGGTTCAATTTGATTTCGATCGATCCAGATTCCCGTCCGATTCGGTTTCGGTCTCCGATTTGGGTTAACCAATGGATGCCTTGCTAGCCTGCTAGCCTGCCGATTCTGGCCGTCTCAACTTCCTCCGACTTGGTTCCCGACTTCCGCCGATACGAATCATGTCCATCGCCGACCAGTCTTGTCGATTCGATTCTGGGCTTCCATGGGGGGGACCGGTGGCGGGGGAGCGGTGGGCGCCGTGCGCTCCCCTCAGCAAGCACAGCGCGTACTTCTCCAGGGTGCCGGGCAGCGAGGCCTTGATGGGCCCGGGGAGCGAGGTCGGCGGCGGCACCGACAAGCGCGCGTGTCTGCCGCCGCAGTGGGTCGATTTCGCGGACAAGGCCCGCGAGGAGAGCCGGGGCGCAGAACTCACCGTGGATCCCTCGCAGAGGGCATCTCCTCACCCCGCCGTGCCTGGCCATGGCCCGTCCCGGGACTTCCTGACCTCGGCCATGGGGCGTTTGCACCATGCCAGGGCCCAGGAGTGCCCTGGCCAGGCGCGGTGGTGGTGTGCAGGTGCGTATATTCCCCCGTTCCTCGGCTCCCGCTTCTCGGGGCACTTTTTGCGAAGAGCGTTTGGGTCCCCATGGCGTGTTCCGCGCGTCACAGAAGGGGGGGGGGGTCCAACTCCGATCCAACAAATCCGCGCGAACCTCCAGGAAATTATGTTCCATGCCGTGTGTGTTGTAGTTTGTTGTTCCTATATTCCCCCAACACCCTGGTCCCTCCCCCCAGCACCCCTCGTCCCGAACCCGCGTCGCTGGACTGCAGCGGACCAGCCCGATGATGGCAAGTCGGCGATCGATTGACGGACGACAGGAGAATCGCAGCCGATGCAGGGTGCTTGTGACGGCGTCTCGTTGCAGCGGAGACGGTTGTTCCTCCACATTGGTGATGTCGCAATCACCCAGATATCCATAGTGATGACGGCCGGTGCCGCCGATCCTGAAAGACATCGACGACGACCAGGAGGGAGAGGAGGAGAAGGAGGAGGAGGAGGAGGAAGAAGGAGATAAGGAAGGGGAGGAGGAGATAAGGGGGAGGAAAAGGACTCAACAATGCCCCCCCCCCATGGAGGACCAGAGGAGGACCAGCGTGGGAGAGGGGAGGGGAAGGGGAGGAGGACCCCCAGGGACGGATGCGTATCTCACTCCCTTCCCCACCCCTGGGACTCCTCCACACCTGGGGAGGAGGACCCGAGCAGGACCGGCGCGCCAGAGAAGGACCGGCGTGGGAAAGGAGGACCCCAAGAGGCGATGCGAATCTGACCCCCCCCCCCGGGACCGTCCCCCGCCGAGGGAGGGACAAAGGGAAGGAGTCTTTGTTGACGTAGTGAGGACGTGGATTGAATTCCTTCAAGCTGCGAGCCCGTTCCCCGAGGGAGAAAAAATGCTCGTTCTGTGATGATATTTCTGTAGCCCGCAAATGAAGCGTTACATTGGAGATGTCGCCAACCTTTGCTGCGTGGGCTCTGCACATCGTTGACAAGTCCATGCCAGCCTGTTGGCCGCCCGTCGATTTCCATGCTGCTCAGGATTTCAGCCTATTCCAGATACTTGTGGAAGCCTCACGTACTGCGTCACATGCCCGTTCCACTCCCACCATGTGGAAGGCACGCTTCGCAACCGCAACCGAAAGCTTAGGTTGCTCCTCGAGTTGTCCACGTATCGTTAACAATTCATCCGTCTCGGCCGCATTTCAAAAGGACAGTTTTGGCCAAAACCCATTCGCCAGAGGCCGTTGGATTTCGGACCGTGTCGCTGGGGACCGCGTGGGCGAAAAACCGGGGGGGAGGGGGGAGGGGACGGAGGAGGGAGGAGGGAAAGGGAGGAGGAGGAGGAGGAGGAGGAGGAGGGAGGAGGAGGGGGAAAAGGGATGAGGGAGGGAGGGGAGGAGGAGGGAGGAGGAGGGAGGAGGAGGGAGGAGGAGGGAGGAGGAGGAAGGGAGGAGGAGGAGGAGGAGGAGGAAGGAGGAGGAGGAGGAGGAGGAGGAGGAGGCAGCGTCCCTGGGCTGCAACCCCACGGATACAGGGTGCCAGTTCGTGGATGGCCCATAGGCGGAACGTAATTCCGTGCGACCGCGTATCCGCGGGGCCGCGCCCCGGAGTCCAGTCCGCGAGGGCGCGGATATTGACATGGCCGCCGCTCGTGAGGACCGTCTTGTCAGGGCTCGTTTCGATTCCTCCGATTCGATTCGATCCGATTTCGATGGATTCCGATTCCGATTCGATTCAATTTGGGATTCCGATTTGGGTTCCGATTTCTTCTTGGAGATATATCCCCAGGAAGCATTTAAGAACCCCCCCCCCCCTTCCGGCAAATCGATAACCCTTCCGCACCCTGGAAGCGTTACCTGGCACCAGGAGCCCTCCTCCTCCTCCTCCAGGAGCCATCCATTCAAGTCGTTAGGAATCATCAAATATGCTTGCGAATATTAGTACTATTATCATTGCATGAATTTTCCAAGCAGCAAGCGACATCCTAAGTCTTTCATGAGAGCCACGCAGATTAGAATTTCGAATTTCGATTGTGGCCCAGGGGCCAGGCCTCCGCGAATTTGTTGTGTGTCCGGGTGCTAAACCTATCGTTCGGTTATTTCGGCCCCTCGGAATATCGAATGAAAATGCGGTGCTAAGATATCGCCGGGGGGGTTCTTAAATGCTTCCTGGGGTTATTAGCCTGCCGATTTCTGCCGATTCGACTTTTCCCGACTCGGCCGCCGATTTCTGCCGATCCGATTCATTTCGATCGCCGATCCGAGCCATCGATTCGATTCTGGGCTCTCCTGTCTTGTGGGGGGCATGTTCGCCAGAGTGCCCAGACAAGCAGTTCCGATGTTTTGTCAGAGCGTGGCCCCGGAAATCTCGACCTCCTCCCCTGGACCAGCGTTTCATCTTGAGTCGTTTTTTGACGGTCACAAAGCCTGGCGAGGCATCCTGCAGGCCGAAAACTACAATCAGGCCGTCTCGATTTTTTCGAGACGCCAGCATGTTTTGGGACGGCTCCGTTGGCGGGGGCCGCTCGGCCGGCGTGCCACGTCGTCTACGGGCGAGCGGCCAGACACGAAGGCGGGCCAGCGGTATGGCGTACCTGGATGGCGGGCGTCCAAGCGGGCGGGCGGCGCAGCACTGCACCGGCGAACGAAGCGGATACCACTGCGACGAAGCGGTCCAGGCCAACCAGTTTGGACCGAGATGAGTCCAGAAATAATGGTACAACTCCCAACAGCGGATGTTGTTCATCCTGGACGAGATTCGTTGTCGACGTCGCGGCGGTCATTCTCAATTTGAGACACAAGCTCGCTTGCCCAACAGCGGCCGGTGTCGGTTTTGGAAAACATTTGTTGTTGGGCATCGTGCACGTGCCAAGTTGTGAGACACAGGGTTGCGCATGCTTCTTTCGCTGGCACACGTCACTTTTGGACCTGGCTTCCCAGCCCATCAGAGCAGCGCTGAATATGTTGCATTTTTGAGGGGAAATAACTTGTACATGTATATGCGTACGTGTAGGGCTGGTGGTTCGCTCGCCCCACGACTCGATGCAAGTACATTTGCATAGCACATTATCGACTCGTGTCCGCTCAGCCGTACATGGTCGATCAAAGCCAGTTTGCCCATGATCGTGCGTTGCAAGGAATCTGAGTTTCATACATCGCGTCTCTTTCTTCGTTTGGTTGTCTTGAAGATGTGCCAGTGGGGCGGGTTTTCAGTGTCTGCCCCGCGGAGGAGATTCGGGACATCAAGTCGCAGTTGGAACAGCTGCAGAAGGCTCAGCAGCGGCGGCTACAGAAGGTTCGGCGCGGGGGACTCCGTTTGGAGTCCTGGCGAAATGCCATAGAAGTCCCAAACATACCTGTAGCCGTATGACACGCACACAGACCAGAGGACAACGCCGTACGAGTCTAGGAATTTGCCAACGACACAGCTTTCTGAAGTAGCGATCGCTCAGGCGGCTCCTATGACTGCTCGCCCAGGGTGGCTGTATACGATCGAGACTTGAGATCTAAACGGCTGTCACATTTTCTACAGCCAGACATTTTGTTATTGTGTGCGATGATGTTTGTTGCTGGGTCGACCAGGTCCCTGTCCCTCATGACATTAGTATGGCTGTCAGCGTGCATTCGGCCAACTCTGGTGTACAGGCTGCCAAGCTGAATCCCATAATGAGTGCATTTGTCATATCCTTAGTCGGGTTTTTGACATTATTCAGACGCGCCCGACACACCTCGCTCACACAGTCCTCTACCCGTACTCGTTCTCAGTCTCATTCAGGCTCACCCATACTCATGATGATCATGGTGTTGATGAGGATGATTATGATGATAATGATGCTGATGCTGATGATGATGATTATGCAATGCTGATGGTGCTGATTATGATATTGATGCTGATGATGATTATACAATGTTGATGCTGATGATGATGCTGATGATGATGGTAATGGTGATGATGATGATGATGATGATGATGATGATGATGATGATGATGATGATGATGATGATGATGGTGATGATAATGATGATTGTGATGCTGGGGATGAGGATGAGGATGCTAATGCTGATGCTGCTGATGATGATGATGCTGATGATGACGAGAAGGAGAAGGAGGAAGATAAGGAGGAGGAGGAGGAGGAGGAGGAGGAAGAGGAGGAGGAGGAGTGACGACGAGGGACGGAGAGAAAAGAGGAGGAGAAGGAGGAGGAGGAGGAGGCTTGGCGTCGTCGTCGTCGTATCCGTCGCCCACTCGGACTTTCGTACCCCCGAAACTCACAGCCAGACACTCACAGCGAGAGGTACCATGGAAAGGAGATGCACATGTGGGGATCCCCACGTCGAGTAATCTATGTGTTGCAGGCTCTTCTCTTGTGGGAGCCCCTGTCGGGGTTCAGTGGGGTCCGAGGGCGGCATCGGGCAGTCTTCGGGGCTGACATGGGCGCCCTGTTGTTTTTGGAGTCCTCCAGGCGCTTTAGAGAAGTAGGTTCGAGGCCTCTTAGGGTCTTTGTGGATTAGGGGTGGATTTTGTGACGGCTGTGGATGTTTCAGGTGTTAGTGCGGGTGCCTTGAAGTCTCGCATGGGGCCTTTGAGAGGATACTGGGCGATCCAGATTGCTTTGGATCTGTTCGGTGATTGGGTCTGTGCGCCTTGAATCAGAGTGGTCAGAATCAACATTGCCTTGCAGATGGTTACGAATGCAGGCTTTGTAGATGTTTTGCATTTGTTTTGCAAATGGCCGGTCTCCGAGGTTTTTGGAGAGGTCCAGAGGCTTGATCATGGGAGGAGTTTGGGGTCCAGGGAGGACTACGGGGGACATGTCGCGACGTCGCTTTGGACGGGTCACATCAGCAAGCATCCAGAGTGTTTTGAAAACGCTCTTCGGACTACATCTTCCATTTTTGCGAGGCAGCTTCCAGGACCTCTAGTTGCGTCCTGGGGCCTGATGCCGATATGGATTATTCGATACATCGCCGACCCTGTGTTGTGGCCCTTGTTGCAAATCCAAATTGTTGAGCTGGAATGTTCATCTTGGATGAGGCCTCGATTGCGTTCCATGAGGAGCACGTGAAAGCCCAAAGGCAACGCCAGCCACGGCAAGAGCAGTGACGGACCTGTGGTCCAGGTCTGATCCAGAGGGTGGAAGGTAAGCAGCGTGGCGCTCGGGCCCCTCTGCCCCCCAAAAGGCGCAGACTGCCTTCTGCGCGGAGGACCGGGAGGTAGAGGTGTTGTCCGGCTCCATCGCCACCTTGATCCGCTGCTGCGAGCAGTCGATACACCAGGTCCGAGCCCGCGGCGCCGGCGACGCCATCATGGACGAAGAGTTCCGCAAGAACATGTCCAGCAGCTTGGCGGCGGACCTGCAGCAGCTGTCCAAGAAATGCAGAGAGGTCCAGAAACAGTACCTGTCCGAAGTAAAGAAGAGGCAAGCCGCCGCCGCAGGCGCCGCCCAGGACTTCGGGTGGTTGGCCTGTCCCCTGCGCCGGTCACCACTTCCTGTCGCTGCTGCCGTCGCCGTCAACCTCCCCTAGGATGCAACCCCTGTGTGGTTAATTTCAACATCGGCGCTGGTACTTCCGCTGTCGACAAACCGCCCAACCTTGCTCATTCTCGCTTACTCCCGACAGATCCCGCGTAATCCAAGGCCTAGTCTGGTTCAGTGGCCCTTTTAATCTGGTTTGTTGGCCCTGAATCGTTCTTACAAAGACTCCACCATGGCTTAGCGATGGAAGGGCCCCCGCTGCAAATTCCACAGGGCGTCAGGCGATCTCCTGGACCAAGTCCTGAGGGACAACACCCCCAACCTGGCGCCGATGGCCTGTAGGCCCTGCGGCGTGTTTGCACACTGCGCGGGTTGATCGCTACCCCGCGGAGTATAAACATCTACGGATAGTTCAACAGATCGCTCCAGAGTCGTTTCGTGCTCCGCGGTCCGTGCCGGGGAGCTGCTCTACCAAAGGGTGAGCGGCACGAGAGCGCGAGGGTAGCCGCGCAGTCGCACGAAGCGCGAAGAGGGAGGCGAGGCGGCTCAGCTTCCCTCCCCGGGGGGGGGTGAGTCAGGGGTTGCAGTCAAGCCGCTGAGAGAAGGGCTACAGTCGAAATCGATTACGGAGACGGGTAACCTTCCCAAGAGTACCCCTGCATCCTTGGCTCTTCGATCCATCCTTAACCGCTTTCGATGGCCAGCCCCGCTCTTGGAGCCTCGACATGGGCGTACAAGGGGCTTGCAACCTTACCGCGCATCGTTTGTACCAGTTTGATTGTACTTCGAGTTCAGGAGGTGAGCTTGTTTTCGGGCCGCTTCTTAGATTTATGTCGAAGGCGCCTACGGCGAATCACCGCCGCCCCCTGCCCCTTTGGAAGCGCCTCTGTGGCCGACAGCTGGGCCAGAGCTTGGCCAAGCTATCGGGCCAGTTGTTCCCCGAGTCGGTTTGGAAAGACTTCGGGGAACGCATGGGGAAGCAAGACGAGGAGGAGGGGGAGGATGAGGAAAAACAAGGAGGAGGTGGATGGAGGAGGAGGAGGATGAGGCCTCTTGGGGCGCCTCTTGGGGCACTTTTGGGGCCTCCTGGCCGTCTTAGGGCGTTCCTGGCTTGTCTGACGCTGTCGGAAGCCGTCTTGGTGGCATGTCTGGGTCGTCTTGGGGTCCTTTGGGGGCATACCAGGGGTTCTTAGAGACCTCTTGGGCGTCTTGGAGGCCTCTTGGGCCGTTTTGGGGCCCTCTTAGGGGCCGTCTTGGGGCTTTTTGGGCCGTCATGGGGCCATCTTGGAGGCCTCTTGGGCGATCTTGGGGGCATCTTGCGCCGCCTTGAGCCGTCGGAATGCCGAGAAGAAGCAGATGCAAGAAACAATGCCGAGAAGAAACACATCTTTCAACACACTTAGGGACATCAATGACGTTGGCCTCTTCGTGCCCTTCTGGAAGACCTCCTGGACGCCTTTTGGGCTGTCTTGGAGGCCTCTTGGGTGTCTCTTGGGCTGTCTTGGGCCATCTTAGGCCGTCTTGGGTGCATCTTGGGCCGTGTTGGAGGCATCTTGGGGCCATCTTAGCCGTCTTGGAGGCCATTTTGGCCGTCTTGGAGGTCTCTTGGGCCGTCATGGGGCCATCTTGGAGGCCTCGTGGCCGATCTTGGGGGCCTCTTGTACCGTCTTGAGCCGTCGGAATGCCGAAAGGAAGTATATGCCCAAATCCTTCAAACACCTACAGGAAATCAATGATGGTTGCCTCTTCGGGCCCTCCTGGAGGATCTTTTGGACGCCTTTTGGGCTTTCTTGGAGGCCTCTTGGGTGCATCTTGGGCTGTCTTGGGCCATCTTGAGGCCATCTTGGGCCGTCTTGGGTGCATCTTGGGCCGTGTTGGAGGCATCTTGGGGCCATCTCAGCCGTCTTGGAGGTATCTTGGCCGTCTTGGAGGCCTCTTGGGCCGTCTTGGGGGCCCTATTCGGGGCCTCTTGGGTTTTTGTTTGAGCAGTCATGGGGCCATCCTGGAGACCTCTTGGTCGATCTCGGGGCGATCTTGGGGGCCTCTTGGGCCGTCGGAAGGCCGAAAAGGCGAAAATGCAAAATCCTTCAAAAACCACAGGGAAATCAATGATTTGGGCCTCTTCGGGCCTTCCTGAAGGACCTCTTGGAGGCCTCTGGGGCTGTCGTTGAGACCTCTTAGGGGGCTCTGTGGCCGTCTTAGGCCATCTTGAGGCTATCTAAGGCCGTCTTGGGTGCATCTTGGGCTGTCTTGGAAGCATTTTTGGGCCATCTTTCTTAGCCGTCTTGAAGGCAATCTTGGGCGTCTTGGAGGCATCTTGGAGGCCATCTTGGGCCATCTTGAGCGAAACATTAGGGGATTGAGTTCCTGGGCAATCTTTCCGGGACCCCGGCGGGCTGGGCCGAAGACCCAGGGGGAGTTCCTTTTTTTGGAAAAGAAACCAAAACCGAGAGGGTCTAGCACGCCAGGCACCCTTGTGATGAATCAACTGGGGGCGGCGGATATAATGGCCTTCGGCCCATCCTGCCACCGTGCGTGCTTGGTTCTTAAGCCTATTGGATGTTCATGGGGATCTCGTGGGAGGTCTGTCGGGGGTCTCTTGGAGGCAGCTTGGGGGCCGTTTGGGGGCCTCTTTTGGGCTTCTTGATCCGCTGGGGGCCCTGGGGATCATCAACAAAAGCCTCTTGGAGGGCCCCTTCGGGCGGACGGGTCGGATTGCGAAGGCCTTACGGCCGGTGCCGCCGACCCTGAAGACGAAGTTGTCTGTGACGCCGTGAAGGCCGAAACGTCGTATATGCTAGAAATGTAAGTTCCCGATGGAAAAGTAATGAGTGTGGCCTCTTGGGCCCTTCTTGGGGGTGCTCTTGGAGGGGGCCTGGGACGTCTTGGAGGCTTCTTGGACGGTCTTGGGGCTATCTTGGGCGTCTTCGGCCGATCTTTGGGCGACTCGGGGCACTCTTGGGCCGTCTCGGGGGCCATCTTGGGCATTCGGACCTCATTTGGAGTGTTTTCGAGGTTTCGAGGCCGCCCGAGGAAAAACGAATCTGCCCCCCCACCCACCCCCCCACCCTCCCCCACCCCTGGCGGGACCCCCCCCCCCTGGGGAAGGGATCAAAGGGAAGGGGCTTCCCTTCGAATCGACAACGGCATGACGGCAGGAGGGTACGGCCCAAAAAGAAAAATGGGGGAAGGAAGAAGGGGGGGCGGCGAGGAACGGACGAGGAAGCCCCTCGCACACGCCAGTCTCTTGGAGGCAGCTTGGGGGCCGTTTGGGGGCCTCTTTTGGGTTTCTTGATCCGCTGGGGGCCCTGGGGATCATCAACAAAGGCCTCTTGGAGGGCCCCTTCGGGCGGACGGGTCGGATTTTTGATTTGTGTTTCCTCTCTTGGGCACAGTTTGGGGTCGTCTTGGGCTCCTCTTGGGTCGTCTTGGGGCCCTTTTGGAAGCCTCTTGGACCGTTTTGAGGTGGTCTTGGGGGCCTCTTGGGCCGTCTCGGAGCGTCGGGAGGCCGAACAGGCGAGAACGCCAACATCCTCCAAAAACCCTTCGGAGAAATCAACGATGTTTGACTCTTGGGCCCCTCTTGGGAGGCTGGTGCGTCTTGGAAGCCTCAAAAACCTTCGGAGAAATCAACGATGTTAGACTCTTGGGCCCCTCTTGGGAGGCTGGTGCGTCTTGGAAGCCTCTTGGGCCATCTTGGGCGTCTTGATGCCATTTTTCGGTGTCTCGGGGCCCTCTTGGATCGTCTTGGGGACCTCGTAAAGCCTTGTTGACCCGTCTTCGGGCCCCCCTGGGCCCGAACAAGCCATGCGACAATCCGCGACGGGTCCCAGGGGGCACGCTGGGAGCCGCGCCGAACTTCGGAATTTGGGGCCTGGGCCCCAGAAAGACTCCTCAGGGCTGAGGGCTGAGGCTCCAGGGGTTAGGCAGATGACCTGAGGACGCGCCCATTCCGTGCCCAGAGGCACGGTGGCGGCCTTCGGGGGTCATATTCGAGGCTTAGGCTCGCCGTGGCCATGGGCCAGAGAAAGCCTTGTCGTTCCGCATTCAGCGCTTCTCATGGTAGCACGATGGCTGTAGGGGCTGCATCGAAGAGGGCGGTCGGGCAAGGCGTTGGGTCTTCGGCACCGCGCAGGACCTGGAGAGCGGCGGCGCCGCCGCCTTCTCCGCAGGCGGCGCTGCCAGCAGCAGGGGCCCCGGCCACGCGCACGCCCAGGACCGTGACCTCGACGAGATGGAGGAGATCGCCGCGCACAGGAGCGGGCTGGGGGGGAGGGAGGACACCACAAGCAAAGGGGTTTTATGTCCGCACGTCCGCCGCTGCGGAGGCGTGCCCTGGGACCCCGAGGGTGTTCTCCCGCCGTGCGGGGTGGGCAGACTTCCAGATCCACCACCCCGAGGGGAGTCCGCCGCCTTCTGAGAGGGCCTTCTCCTCCTCCCTGTTATCCCCCTCGCTCGCCGCCGAGCCACTTCCCGAGGTGCCCAGACCTTCAGCGCGGTGAATGCGGCGGCGATCGAGGGGGACAGATGTGGTTGGAGGATCGCGCCGCATCGCCGATGCACTGGCGATGCACAAGCGACGTCGGCGATGCCTCGGCGCCGTTGGCGTGGAGAGGATCGTGCTCCACATCGAGCCGCACCCCCCGTGCACTGGCGATGCGGCGCGGTCCTCCGACCCCTCTGCTCGAACCCCACTTGGGAGGCCTAGTAGCAGGCGGGACGCGATCGGGCGGGTCGCTCCTGCAGACAGCAGCAGGTCGCAGGAGCACGACGGCGATCGCGACCGCGGAAAGGTGGGAGACCCAGGTGCACGGAGGGTGATTTGGCAGATCGTCGTGCACAGCATAAGTCTAAAGGATCATAATGATAAGTTTTGGGTCCTCTTGAGGGGATGATGATCTTTCTTCGTTTTGGAGGGGCACATAATTATCTTGGCGAAGGGCGCAGCCATACGCGGTTGTGAGTATAGCCGTTGTGGGTATCGCCTTCGGTGGCTCTCCTCATGGGGCCACGAATCGTGTAAAGGGCGTGCCGACATAGGGCGGGGACGCATGCGGGCGCTGCCATTGAGACCTTCGATGGCGCTCCACATGGGGCCACGAAACGTGTGATGGGTGCGCTGAAGTGGAGCGGGGCCGCCATGCGAACGCCGCCACTGGGGCCTTCGGTGGAGCTCCCTAGAGCACGTTTCTTTATTGCTTAGGGCATGACGGGCGTCATGGCCCCCGCTCCCCCCCCCTCCCCATGACGTAACGCTCCCCCCCAGTGCGTTTCGGGCACTGCCGCCGTGCGCATTGGGATCTGCGTAGGTGTCCGCGTAGGAATCCGCATAGGAGTCTGTCTGGTCAGCAGTCGTCGTCGTCGTCGTCGTCGTCCTCGTGGCTCCTCGCTCGTCGCTTATCGTCGTCGTGCGCGCTGACGCGGCTGGAGCCTGGGGGGGTGGAGGGGGTCGATGGCGGCGATCATTTTGGGATGGGGAAGGGTTCGACGACGTCACGTTTCGCGCCGGCGTCGTCTGGGAATGCTTAAGAATGACGGAGAACGGGTAGCACCAGCAAGTAGGTGGCGATCTGCACCACAACGCTTGTGTACACCATCGTGCCCGCGTGCACCACAGAGCTTGTGCACACCACACCGCGGATGTACACCACAGCAGCCAGGTGCAACACAGCGTCAGTTTGTGCCACCGTGCCTGTGGGCACAACAGTTCTTGTGTACACCACAACGCCTGCGTACACCACATCGGCCGTGTGCAACACAGAACCAGCGTACACCACAATGCCTGCGTGAATTGCAGTGCCTGTGTACACCACGGCGCCTGTGTGCACCACAGTAACCGTGTGCAACTCAGCACCACTGTTGCATATAGAATGTTAGAAGGAATATTTATGATAAAGTGGATCGCTTGTGGGTTCCATTGTATACAATAGAACGGAATCCTTATGGACAACGGAGCGCCGCTGGAATCCACAAATCCTCCCGGGTCCGCTCGCATCACCCTACCTTCTCCCGTCTGTGTCCACGAGGCCCCAGCTCAATTAGCCGTCCGAGAACCAAGTCGACCAATTCAATAAACCATTCTGCGGTGCACGCTGAGATGCGCACGTGCGCTGTAGCGCCAACCCGCACGACAGGGGGTAAGGAAGAGAAGGAAGAGGAAAATGAGGAGGAGGAAGAGGAGGAGGAGGAGGAGGAGGATGTGGTGGAGGAGGGGGAAGAGGAGGAGGGAGGAGGGAAGATCGTCGCATTCGATTATCAGCATTTTCGTGGCGTGTCGTCTAGTTCTCCACAGGAAATCCTCACGCACATGCTTCTGTTTACCTGTCCTATGCACGCAGGCGCTGAGGTGTACACCAGCGCTGCGTTGCACGCGGATGCTGTGGTGTAGACAGTCGTTGTGGCGTGCACGGCGCTGCGGTGCACGCAACCAACGTGGTGTGCACAGGCACTGTGGTGCACATGGTTGGTGCGGTGGACACATGTACACTGGCGATGTCGTGTACGCGGCTGCTGTGGTGTACACAGGCGCTGCGTTGCACACTGTTGTTGCGGTGCACGCAAGCGCTATGGTATACACGCGCGCTGTGGTCCACGCGAGCGCTGTGGTGTACACAGGCGCAGTGGGGCAGATCGCCACCTACATGCTGCTTGCGTCGTCGTCGTCGTCGTCGTCGCTCGTTGTTCGTCGCTCGTCGTTCGTCGCTCGTCGCGTCGTGCGCGCGGGCGCGGCTGTGGTGCCAGGGCCACACGGCGGGGGGGTCGTTACCGTCATACCCCTCCCGCCCCCCCCCCATGACGCCCGTCACCGCCGAACATAAAGAAACGCGCTCATATAGGGCCACGAAACGTGTGATGTATGCTGGAATGGAAAGGGGGGACGCATGCAAGCGTCGCCATTGGGGCCTTCGGTGGAGTTCCGTGTGGGGCCGCGAGACGCGTGAGAGGTGTGCGGAAATGGGCGGGGGGGGAAGCATGTGATCACAGCCATTGTGGGTTTTGGTGGAATCCCCTATGGGGCCACGAAACGCCGCACTGGGCGACGCGGACGCTTGTGATCACAGCCATTGGGGCCTTCGGTGGAGCTCCCCAGTGAGGGCACGAAGCGCCGTACTGTGTGGCGCGGGGCGCATGTGGGCACAACCATTGGGGCCTTCGGAATGGGGCTACGCAGCGCCGTACTGGGTGGCGCGGGTTGCATGTGGGCACAGCCACTGAGGCCTTCCGGGGACATGTGGGCACAGCCACTGGGGCCTTCGGAGGAACTCCCAATGAGGGTACGAAGCGCCGTATCGTGTGGCGCGGGGCGCATGTGGGCGCAGCCATTGGGGCATCCGGTAAGGGGCCACAACGCGCCGCACTGGGTGACACCGGTTGCATGTGGGCACAGCCACTCGGGCTTTCGGTGGTGCTTCCCATGAGGCCACGGAGCGCCGTACTGGGTGGCGCGGGACGCATGTCGGCACAGCCGCGGGACAATTCGGTGGAGCCCCACATGGGGCCACGAAGCGCCGTACTGGGTGGCGCGGGACGCGTGTGGGCACAACCGCGGGGGCATTCGGTGGAGCCCCACATGGGGCCACGAAGCGCCGTACTGGGTGGCGCGGGACGCATGTGGGCACAGGCACTGGGGTCTTCCGTGGACATGTGGGCACAGCCATTGGGGCTTTCGGTGGAGCTCCCCATAGGGCACGAAGCGGCGCCGTATCGTGTGGCGCGGGACGCATGTGGGCACAGCCACTGGGGTCTTCCGTGGACATGTGGGCACAGCCATTGGGGCTTTCGGCGGAGCTCCCACTGAGGGCACGAAGCGGCGCCGTATCGTGTGGCACGGGACGCATGTGGGCGCAGCCAGTTGCGCCTTCGGTGGAGCTCACCATGGGGCCACGAATCGCCGTATTGGGTGACACGGGCTGCGTTGGGGCACATCCATTGGGGCCTTCGGTGGAGCTCCCCATAGGGTTTCGACACGCCGTACTGGGTGGCGCGTGACGCGTGTGGGCAAAACCACTGGAGCTTTCGCTGGAGCTCCCTATGGGGCCACGAAAAGCGCCGTATTGGGTGACACGGGCTGCGTTGGGGCACATCCATTGGGGCCTTCGGTGGAGCTCCCCATAGGGTTTCGACACGCCGTACTGGGTGGCGCGTGACGCGTGTGGGCAAAACCACTGGAGCTTTCGCTGGAGCTCCCTATGGGGCCACGAAAAGCGCCGTATTGGGTGACACGGGCTGCGTTGGGGCACATCCATTGGGGCCTTCGGTGGAGCTCCCCATAGGGTTTCGACACGCCGTACTGGGTGGCGCGTGACGCGTGTGGGCACAACCACTGGAGCTTTCGCTGGAGCTCCCTATGGGGCCACGAAAAGCGCCGTAGTGGGCTCGGGGGGCAGAAGCAGGGATGGGAGGAGGGAGGCGGGAGGAGGAGAGGAGAGGAGACGCGGGGCGCTGGCTCTTCAAAACGAGGACCCAACACCACAGGATGATTGGGAACACGACACACAGTGCACAGGGTGTGAAAGATCTGACGCGACATGCTGCCGTCTGGGGGAGCGACCCGCCCGACCGCCTCCCGCGTGCTTCTTGGCCTCCCAGGTGGGGTCCGAGAAGATGGTGTCGGAGGATCGCGACGCATCGTCGATGCATCGGCAATGCGGCGCGATGCTGAGCCCGATTTTTTCCACGCCGACGTCGCTGATGCGTCGGCGATGCAGCGGCGATGCATCGGCGATGCAGGGAGGGTGAGAGATCTGAGGCTACCTGCTGGCTGTCCGGGGAAGCGACCCGCCCGACCGCCTCCCACCTGTCTGTGAGGCGTGGCTCCCCGGGCTGGCTTCGGGGGCCCAGTGTCGATCGCAAGTCGTGTGTTGCCTGGCTGTCCAGGAGCACCCATATCGCCCAGATAGCCTCGTCGGTGAACGACCTTAACATTATTTTCAAGGACCTGGCGGCACTGGTTATCGACCAGGGCACGATTCTCGATCGCATCGACTACAACACTGAGAAGATATATACGAGGTCGGATCAGGCTAGAGGGCAGATGCACAAGGCGGTCCAGAAGAAAAGAGCGAGCGACAGCAGGACGATGAAGTGTTTCTTCATGTGGTTAGCCCTCGACACGCTGGCGCTGGCGATCCTTGTGATTAAATACGTTATGAAGTATGGCAAATCCGCTGTGTGGGTTTTGCTGTTCATGTTGCTGCTCATCGGCGGCAGCATCTTGTACTGCAGACAGAAGTGCGCAAACTTAGATATGTCCAAGGTGATACCCGAATCGTGGAATCCGCAGAACTTGTGGAAGAAGCTGCGACCAGGGCCTGTGAACTCCGTGAAGGGCGCGCTGGCAGCCAACAGGGCCAACAGGATGATGCGGTGAGGCTGTCGGCCCGAGGCCAAGCCAGCGATACGGTGTGCTTGGGCGCTGGTAAGGGTTCATGTGAGCAGAGGCTTCCTTCCCTGCAGCAGGGATTGTGGGAGTCGCCATGCCTTACAAGACAGGCCATGGCCGTGAATGCATGTGCCTCCGGGAGGGATGTGGGGGATGGGAGACAGGAAGGGGGTGGGCGGCCAAAAGCATCCCTGGCGAATGACGAGACGGGGTCAAGGGAGGGAAACAGAACCCGACCCACCCGATGGGCGTTGATACATCGGACTTGGGCGTTTTCTAACAGCCCTGCCCCCTTCGACTATTTCTTTTGGTGCCTTCACTGAACAGGTTTGCTTGTCGGGGTGCTTATTCTGAGAGGGGGTTGATCTGCTCCCTGCAGGGGGGAAGTTCGTCGTCAGGAGTCAGAGGATGTGTCTGCCTGCTCGCTCACAGTGGGACCGGAGAGCGGGGGGGTCTGCGCGGCTAAAGGCGCCCTGCCAGCGCTTGCGCGCTGCCCGGGTAGGCGGTCGCCACCGCCCCATCCCCCAGGAAAAGAGCGAGTGCCCACCTCGGGGGCAAAGTCAGGGGGGGATACGCCCATGGGATGATGTGCAGCCATCCCCGATCGCCCATTCACCGCCGACAGGGGCCCGATAGCCCACGCTGCCCAGGAGCATGCGGACTCGCTATTGCGGGCCTATCGCCGATCTATCGGCGACGTATCGCCGATTTCAGGTCGATGTTTCCCGAGCCGGTCCCCCACCAACATTGCCCATCACCACCGTCGGCTTTGTGAGGCCGCGACTCTGCGTGTACGGCCGTCCGGACTGCGGCGCGCCTGAGGCGTCTAGAGGAGTTGTTTGGCAGAATGCCATCGCGTCTTTCCGTTGCGACGAGCACGTCGGTGTGTTGTGGCTCAGTTTCGCAGTGTGTATGTGTGTGTGAGTGTGTGTGTGTGAGTGTATGTGTGTGTGTGTGTGTCCGTAGCCGTTGGCTCAAGCCGTGTGGGCTCGAGCGCGCCCCTGGCTCAGGCGCGCGCTCGGGCTCGGCGCGGATGGAGACCGCCGTGGCGCGGCGGCGGCGGCGGCGGCGCGTTGCCGCTGGCCGTGCCTCTTGGGCCCGCGGTCCGCTGGCGCTGCTGCCTGCCGGCTGGGCTTAGGCGCCCCGTGGCCGAGGCCGCCGCCGCGGCTGGCGCAGAACCCGTCGTCGCGGCCGGCCGCGGCGGTCTCGCCAGGGCCGTCGCCGCGGCAATCCGCGGCGGCGCCGAGGCGACCGCCGCTGCCATGGCCCATGGCGCGTGCTGCCGCCCTGTCGCCCTGCTGCCGCCGCCGCCGCTGGCGTCGCGGCTGCGGCCGCGGCCGCCGCGGCGGTCTTGGCTGCTTGCGGCGACCGTCGGCCCTGCGGCCGTGGCCTCCGCTGCTGCCACCGCTGCCGGGGCCTCGCCGTCAGTAGCAGCGGCGGGCGGCGTGCTCGCTGGCGTCGGCGCTGGCGCCTTTGGAGGGCTGCGGTCGCCGCGGGCGCCGCCAGCGCCGCTGGCATCGCTGGCGCCGCCTGCTGCGCCGCGGGCGCCGCCGGTGCCGCGGGCTAAGTTACAGCGGTGGAGACTGTGGGCGCGAGGATGGTGCCGCTGGCGCCGCCCGCGCCGCCGACGCCACGGATGCTGCGGGCGCCACTGGCGCTGCTCAGCGAGGAACACCGATGCCAGCATCCTCGACAGCACTGCCGAGAGCATCGACGCCAACATCCTCGTCAGTTCAGCCTGGATCACCTGCGCTATCATCTTCGCCAGCGCAGCCGAGAGCTTCGATGATATCATCCTCGTCAGCTCAGCCAGGGCCGTCGATGCCACCACCATCTTCACCAGCGCAGCCAAGTGCTTCGACGAGTGCATCCTCTCCAGCACAGCCTGAACCGCCGATGCCATCATCTTCGCCAGCGCAGACGAGAACCCCGACGCCCGCAGACTCGCCGGCACAACCTGTTCTCGCCAGCGCAGGCCGCCGTCAGCATCTTCGCCAGCCCAGCCCAGGCCGCCCAGAGAGAGGACAGCGTCCGGAGGGAGGCGGGGCTGCCGACCGGATCGCTTTCGCCTGCTGCGGGGCCGTCCCGTGCAGGAGGGGGGGACCGTTTGCATCGTTACGAGTGAGCTGAGGCTGCCGGAGCGGTCACTCTCCCTGCCTCGGGGCCGTCCCGCGCCGCACATGGGGGGGCGATCTTTTTTGCGGTCCCCTCTCACAAGGGTCATCTTGATGGCCCGACTTTTTCCCAGCAGTCACCCTTCCGCCCAGCAGGAACGGTCTGCATTGACGCCCCAGTCTGTCCCCCGCCGCTGCCCCGCCCTCCCTCGCGCTCTCCTGCGGCCCCAGCGAGGGACCAGGGGCCTGAGCCTCTGTAGCCTCCTTCCTCTGCAGTCTGGATCGCGGGCGACGCCTCCCTGATCAGCGCTGCTGAGAGCCTCGGCGCCATCTTCTTCGCCGGCACCGTCCGAATTGCTGGCGCCACCGTCCTCCCCAGCGCAGCCGAGTGCGTCGGCGACAGCTTCCTCGTCAGCGCAGCCTGGATCGCCAAGGCTTGCACCCTCGTTGGCGCCATCGAGGGCATCGGCGCCCGCATCCTCGCCACCAATGCCAGCACCGCCATCACCATCCTCTCCGCCGGCGCATTGAGGCCAGTATCCCCCTTCAGAGCAGCCTGGATCACGGGCGCCATCTTCCTCCTCAGGGCGGCCGCGAGCCTTGCCAACACCCTCTTTTTCACAGCCTGGATCGCCTTTTTACGTCCTCGTCAGCATTGAATCGCCGATGCCGTCTTCCTCGCCAGTGCGGACGACGGCATCGATGCGGGTTTCTCCGGCGCCACTGCTGGAGCGGCTATCATCCTCGCCGGCACAATCGAAAACATCGCGGCCAGTGTCCTCCTCGGCACAATTTGGGCCAAGGGCGCGCGCGCCACCGTCCTCCCTAGCGCAGCCGAGGACTTTGCCAGCACCCTCGTCACCACATCCTGGATCGTCGACGCCACCATCATCGCCAGCGCAGCCAGGGGCTTCGGTGCCAGCGCCCTCGTCAGCTCAGCCTGGACCGTCCAAGCCATCATCTTCGCCAGCGCAATCGAGAGTTTCGGCGCCACCATCCTCGGCACCACATCCTGGATCGTCAGCGCCATCACCCTCGCCAGCGCAGCCGAGAGTTGCGATGATGGGATGACGACTCCGCGCCCGCGTTCTCCGCTGAGCGCGCAGGAGTTTGTCCGCACCTGGCGGCGTGCGGACTCGCTCCCGCGCTGGGAGTCGTGCTTTCGGAGCTGTCGGCGGATGCCCCGCGCAGGTGCGGAGACGAGGGCGGGCCGCGACGCCCTGCGGCGGCCTGAGCGGCGCCCGCGGCTCCCATCCTCCTCGCGCGGGGGGGGGGGCCTCACGCTGGGGGCCTTCCCCGGGACCGCCGCACCTTGGTGGGGACGGTCTCTTCCTGGATTGCCGGCGACTCTGATGAAGCTCTGAGCTTCAGTCTGCTGTGGAAGATCTGGGTCGCTGAGCATTGGTGCCAGGCCGCGCCCCTCACCGCACTGAACGGACCCCCGACTCCCATTGACTTCGCCGCCCGCCTCCTCGGCCAGTTGGTCGATTACATCGCCTGCCCTCACCAGCGCGCTCCAGGGAGTGGTCCCCGAGCCCCTGCGTGGAGGCTGGCTCGTCTCCCTCACCTCCGCCGCCAGCTCCTGCTCCTCACTTTGGTCCTGGGATCGGCAGCGCCGTCGATGGCCCGCCAGGCGCTGAGTGTTCGCACTGTGCATTGGCGGGTAAGGGCTCGTTGCGTTTCAACGTTGCATCACGGTTATCCTCGTCAGCGTGGAGTGGTGATTCTGGACTTCTGCGCAGGTCCGAGCGGCGCCTTCCTGCGGCGCCAGCGTCCTCCCACCGCCGCCGCCCATCCGTTTCTCCGCTCCCCAGCTTCGGCACTTCTTCGATACCATCAACTCCAACCACCTGTATGGCGATTTCCAGCCGCTGACTCCTGAGGGCTGACCCCCAAGGACCTCATTGGCGAGGCGTGCGCCTCCGCCCTCGCCCTGGCCGACGCAGGCGGCCCCGCCGCTGAGTTCCGTCGCGAGCCCGTCGGCGGTCCCGCCGTCGGCATTCCCTGTCCTTCGCGTTCTCCGCCCCGTTCTCCGCCCGCTCGCTCCCCCTTCCCCATCTGCCTGCTTCTTGCACCCAGCACGCCTGCGTCCACGCCTCTACGTCGGGGCCGCCGGATCGGCCCGGCACGGGACGCATCTGGGGGCCTGGAGAGGAGGATCTGGCGCAGGGGGACGGGGCGACACTTGGCGGCGCCACTACCTTATTGGTCCTGTCCCGCTGAGACGAGATGACACTGGGAGCGGGGCTGCCAGATCGGCCCCGACACCCGCAAGGGCCTTTATCTGGCAACAGGTTTGGCTGTATTGTTGCTTTGTGTCATGTTTGGGATGTGTCGGCACAGTGCACCATGTGGTGGCGTCTACCGGGCCGTCCGCCCCTGACGGCCAGTCGGGTGCCGTGGCACGCTCCCTGTCGTGGTTTCACTCGGCCCCTCGTTCTCCGCCCACCGTGGACAATCCAGGTGTTCAAGGTGCGGCCCTGTCGGTACAGCAAATCCTTCGCCTGACCCCACGCCCCCCAATGGCTTGCCATTCGCCCACTTTGCCGACATTCCCATCGCTGAACTGTCCCGGAACGATCTGGCCCTCGTGACGGCCGGCTGGGCGCAGCTAGGTCTTCGACATGCCAGTCCCTGGCGCGCTGTTCTCCGTCGGAACAGCATCTCATCCGCTGATCCACACACTCTGTCTTCGACGCTCCTCCGCATCTTCCTGGTGCGACCATACGGCTCCTACGACACGTCCCTGCCACAGGGCTGCCTCGTGGCTAAGACGCGCGCTCGCCAAAGGCTCGCCGCTCTACGCCTTGTCCCCCCCCTGCCCTGTCCTCCAGGCCTTGCCCGTGGTCGCCTCCCTCCCTCTTCCCCCCCGCCCTCCCCCTGCCTGGGGGCCTGCCCTGGCCGTTCCCTCAGGGGCCGCCCTTCGGCCGCCGCTGTTTCCGGCGCGCCGCTTGGCCCTGCCAGGTCTCACGGCCCATTGGGCCTGCGACATGTTGCGGCTCTGCCGCCTTCAGCTCGATCTCCGCCGTCGTTCTTTGGCGTTTTTCGCCGGTCCACACTCGGCTACTCGCTCTCCCCGCCTTCCAGTCCAGGTTGGCCCGGATGGTAATGGTTGCCGCCGGTCGCTGCGGGACCCTGAGGGTCTCTGAGAGCTCGGCCAGGCGTAGACGCCCTCTTTTCGCCGCTTGGACTCGACTTTCTACGGCCCCCCGTCGCCGCGCGCGGGGCCGCGATGCCACAAAAGTGCGTGCGTGTGTGTGTGTGTGTGTGTGTGTGTGTGTGTGTGTGTGTGTGTCTGTGTGTGTGTGTGCGAATGTGCGAATATGTAACCGCAGAGGGTCTTTAATGATGCCCCCCCGAGCTCTCGGCGGGGAATAGAAACTCGTCCCTCCTCCTCCTCCTCCTCCTCCCTCCTCCTTCCCCTCCGTCCTCCTCCTCCTCCTTTTTCTGAGGCATGCCGCGGGAGCGATCGCTCGAGGCGTCAGGGGGCCTGCCGAAACAGGCGGGCAAGAGCAGCAGGCAGGCAGCCAGGGGGCTAGTACAAGCGCCCGCGATCCACAAAGTCGCCAGGAACCACAGGCCAGTTACATTCAGCTCGCTTAGCACGCTGTCGACCCAGCTCGAACCCCCATCTTCCTACCTGCCCCTGCTACCACCCACCACTCCTCCAGAAGCTGGCCGAGCGCAAGCGGCCGCTGGCCCAAGACGACGCGCATCTCTTCCGAAACCTCCTCCAACTCCTCCTCCAACACCCACCACCAACTCCACCTCAATCATCATAGATGCACAGTCGGAGGACCAGCCACGGGCGCGAAGCTGCTATAAGCTATAGGCGCCCAGCCCATGCCACAAGGCGACAGCTCCCACGCTTGGAGAGAGGCCAGAGTGGCGGGCCGCGGGCACAGTCCGAGAGAGAGACGCCAATGTCGATTATGAGAAGCTGACCTTCTCAACAAGATCAGCCACGGGGACCGTCAAGCGGTCATCTTCGGCGTGTTCGCCCACTGCATCGGGAAAAAGCTTTCCACGTACTCACCCACGCATCGGGCGAGACGTGGCTAAGAACTTGCCGAATACAGATAGTTCCAAACATCCACCGCCTCCACCTCACCCTCCTCTCCTCCATGTCGCTGCACAGTGGCTGGAAGCGGCCGCAAAGCGTGACAACCAAAAAACTGGGAGACGTAGGCACCCAAGACCTGCATTGAGATGGGCGGACGTCATCGTAACACCCCTCCTCCTCCACCACCTCCTCCAACTCCCTCCACCACCAATCCTCCATGTCGCCGCGCAGTGGCTCGAAGCGGCCGAACGCGTGGCAGCCATTGCGTTTGCCCACTGTAGCGGGCGGCGAGGGGGCCAGGAATTGGCCGCAGCACAACGGGGACTCGTACGAGCACGTCGCGAAGTGTTGAAACAGAGCATTCCACAAGGGCGCCCGCTTATCGGGCAAGAGGTGGCTCCTTCTCCTTCTCCCTCCGCCGCAGGCGGGCCTGTCGGGGGAGCGACCCGCTTCGCGGTCACGCGGCCCCTGTCTCCAGCAATCGCAACGAGGGCACCCCGAACGTGTGCATTAAAAATGAACGAACGTCGTCGTAACCCTCCTCCTCCTCCACCTCACCGCCTCCACCTCCTCCATGTCGACGCTCAGTGGCTAGAAGCGGTCGAAAACGTGGCAGCCGAGCTTCACGGCGCACGTCGGAAAACGCAGCTCGTGTCGTAACGCTCCTCCTCCTCCTCCTCCCCCTCCTCCTCCTCCTCCTCCTCCTCCTCCTCCCCCTCTAAATCAACTCCAATTGCTATACTAGAGAAGTGTGAAGTCAGCAGAGCGGCGCACACTCAGCACGAAGCGGCCATCGCCGCTGCGAACTCCTGGTCGAAGCCGTTCTCGTCGGAGCAGACATCGTCCATGTGTGCCTTAACATCCAGACCTCGTTCTTGCAAAACAGATAGCGTCATGTCGCACACGTAGCCAATGGCACCAACGTCCGAGTACCCGAATCTGAAGGCCGCCTCGAAGAATTGGGCTGTCACTTCTGACTTGTCAAAGCCACGTTTCCGCAGGGGCCGAGCGGGCGACGGTCGGGGCGCAGCCTCAGCACTGTCGAGGCGTAGGCGGAGGCGAACGAATTGGCCCGAACGGGCGCCAACACGCCGGTCTCGAAGGCGTGACCAAGCCCCAGGAAGGACCACATCGGAACGCGCGATCTCCACGTCTGCCGGGCACGGTGTGCACGGCTGCGTCAGGTCCACGGTCTCCTCCATCGCCCCCTGGCTCTGCATGCCTTCCGACTTGAGCTCCTCCTTGCCCTCCGTGCCCTCAAACTTCTCCTCTGCGCTATCCAATACATTGAATACAGCCTCGCCGTACTTCTGCTCTCCCGTCGCTACCACATCGGTGCCGTCGAAACCCTTGCATACGCCTCTAGCAGCACCAGCAGGCATTCCAGCATCACCATCACCTTCGGCAACACGATCGGGTCCAGCAGCGCGGTCGCCTCCCGCACGAACGGAACCAACATCCGCTTCACAAACATGAACGCCACCATCGTGCACTGGCGGCCCATCGGGCTGGACCTCCACACCCTGCTCCACGAACTGTTCCACAGCCCGCTCTTGGCACCCAGACTGCCCGTGCACCACGCTGACGACTGCCACCTGATAGCCTTGGGGCCCAACCACCCCGTCGACCTCAAGCTGAATGCCATTGGTGTTGAACTCGCAGCCCAGCGGACGCAGGCCAGGTGGTGGTAATGGAGGCTGCCAGCAGCACGGCAGCAGGCCGATCCTCTCAAACTGCGCGTTGCGGATCGCCGCCCGCTGTGTGCGAAGACGACGACGCATGGATATCGTCATTGCCTCGGTCACCATGTCGTTGGCGTCCAAGGCAGGCTCCAAACGATGTCGACGCTGAAGATGTCGACGCTGAGGTAGACGCTGGCGAGAGCACCTGGCGGCAGCACCTGGCGGCGGCGGCGGCGAGCGGGCGCTGGCCCCGCCCCGCGGGCCGCCTGGCCGCGCTGAGCCGCACCCTCCCTGCGGGAGGCCCGATGGCGCGGGCGGCGCGCGCGCCGCGGACGGGCCCCCCCGCCTAGGAGAGGCGCGGCTTTCCTCCTCCTCCTCCTCCTCCTCCTCCTCCTCCTCCTCCTCCTCCTCCTCCTCCCCCAGTTTTCTGCTTGCAGCGGAGGAGGAGGAGGAGGCCGCCAGGCGTTGAGCGACGGGATTCTTGAGCACTTCTCATGACCTTTCATGCATCCGCCGACGAGAAGAATTAATTTCCAACTATTGTCGTGGTCTCAATCCGTCAGTAAGCCGGCGGAACAGCTATTCATTTTCCCATTATTGCCCGGGGGTATACTAAAGACCCTGTGGGGTTCTGTGCGTGTGCGCGTGCGTGTGCGCGTGCGTGTGTGTGTGTGTGTGTGTGTGTGCGTGTGTGTGTGTGTGTGTGTGCGTGTGTACGTGTGTGCCTGTGTGTGCGTGTGTGCGTGTGCGTATGCGGGTGCATCTGCGTTTGCGTGTGTGTGTAACCTCATGCCCGTGAGAATAAACACTAGGGGATAATAAAGTTCGGGGTTCAGGGAGAGATAATAAAAGTAGCCCAGCAGACCTCAGCATAATCTCGAAGTAAGAGATGATCAAGAGGAGACCAAGCCGAGCACGTTTTGAGACATCCTTGGCGTTTAGTTTTCATAGAAATATCCTCAACAATGGCTTATCTCGCTGGAATGGAGGAAGCTATACATAAAAAAGAAAAATAAAAAAGAATAAAGAATTGATGGTTTAAGTGCTCGTGTAGGGTAGCTCATGTGCTTCATTTTCCATGGATAAGCAACCCCAGGGATAAAAAAGTTCAGGCGAGCGTGAGGACATGTAGAACTATAAAAGAAGAAGAGGAAAGTATAATAATAATAAGAAGAGAAGAAGAAGAGAAGAATAATAAGAAGAGAAGAAGAACGGAAAAATAGAAAGTTCCAAATCTATCAAGTTTAAATTACAAACGCTTTATGAAAATTGATGTTTTTAAGTGCTCATGTAGGGTAGCTCATGTGCTCCCCTTTCCATGGATAATCAACCCCAGAGATAAAGAAGTTCAGGCGCGCGCGGGGATAGCATCATCGCTTGATGTTGCTATCTCAACATAGCGTTTCGAGGTGATAATGAAGTTCGGCCTCAGCGCTCGCCGCCCAATTTGAATTTTGTATAGGGCGACGATAATCAACTCTAAACACTGAAGGGGGGTCCCTTCATTATCATCGGCATGCGGTTATACAATTCTGTGTGTATACCTCTCCGCCGCGTGAGTTGAACCAGTGCGCACTCCAACCCTTTCTGCGCCGCGACGCCGCGCGCGTGGCCACGACGCCGAAACTTGCGTGTGTGACGCCAGGTTAGGTTTCGACCCCGAACGGCATGGAGAGAATCACAGGTGCCATCGGCTTGACGCTGGCAGTGAATTATGAAAGGCTGGAACTGAGGGAGCTCCTGGACACATCAAGTGCCAAGGGGTGCATCAAGCTGTTCCAATGACGTATGCCCACTGCGTGCGTCCCTGTCCAAGCATCAGACTTACTCCTGTATGTATCCGTTTCTGCTCCCCTTGCCATCCGGATGTTGGCGTGCGACAATTTCCATGATAGGTTCACCGGAAGCCAACCCTGCACCGCCACAGCCGGACCACAGGACCTCCCGCAGTCGCTGGAGCCTGTCATGGATAACCCGCTCCTGAACTGCCAGTGGCTCGACCTGTCTTACAACCAACTGGCCAGCATAGAGCCGGTGCCGCATTGCCGGGGTCAGGAGGGCCAGGGCACTACGTTCGGGCATCGTGCCATGAGCGCCCCCCCGACGGTTTTTTGGCCGACGGTGCGTTGACCTAACAATTTTACCCCAAAGCGAAAACAAGCATTTTCATCCGTTGGGCAAAGCATTGCAGATCATACAGACAGGAGCATAGCAGACCAATCATTCTTTGGGAGTTGACCGATGCGGGGAAACGGATTGAGATTAGAGGGCAGGCGGGAGGGGTTGGGATTGTTCATTCTGGAGGAGGGTGAGGGGGATGAGGAAGAGGAGGAGGGGGAACAGGTGGACGTGGAGGATCACGGAGGGACGAGCAGCAGGATAGCAGAGATGATAAGGAGGAAAGGGAGGAACAAAGTGAAGAGTCAGACTGGAGAGCTCCTTGTTTTGCCTCCTGATTCCCCTCGCCCTCCAGCTTACATCCAAGAGGTTTACGCCATTCCGCCGACCCCCACGAGAGGAGACGTGCGGCTTCCGATGTCGAGTGTGTTCGTCGCCAATTCGCGTCGAGCTCCCTTCGTGTAGCTGTTGCTGATTTGCCCTCCTCTTCCTCAGCATCTGTTTCGAGGCTTCTTGGGAGCCTCTTAGAGGTATCGTGGGGCGGCCTCGTGGGGCCTTTCCTATGGAGGCTTTTCGAGGCCTTCAGGGGGCCTCCGAGACGTACCCAACCGCTTCTCCACGCGAGGCGAGTATTTGTATGAACGGCCCACGCAAACAAAACAAGCACCGCTTGATGTGCACGGTCTGCGTTGCCCTCACCTCCGCCGTGCTTCCCAGGAGCCCACGAAAGTTGTGACATTTACGCAATCCGCAGCCCCCGAGGGGGCCGCGAGGTCTCAAATGGATCTGCGCTGCCCTCAACTCCGCCGTGCCTCCCAGGATCATGCGAAAATGGCGACAGTTGCGCACGAAAGTGGCGACAGTTGCGCGCTTCGCAGCCGCACAGGGGGGCAGCGAGGTCTCGGCTGGATGCGCGTGGCCCTCCACTCCGTTAGACCTCCCAAGCGCCCACGCCAGCGGAGACAGATGCGCACTTAGTAGCCACCCAGACGGCCGCGATGCCCCGTCTGGGTGCGCGTAGCCCTCCACTCTGCTAGATCTCCGAGGAGCCTATGACATTGGTGACAGTGGCCCAGTTCGCAGCCACCCATGGAGCAGCGAGGTCTCGTCTGGGTGCGCGTGGCCTCTCACTCCGTTGGATCTCCCAGGAGCCAACGAAAGTGGCGACCGCTATGCAGTTCGCAGCCTCCAAAAGAGCAGCGCTGCGCAGCACGCGGCCATCAGGAAGCAGCGAGGTCTCGGCTGGGTGCGCGTGGGCCACCACTCCGCTGGACCTTCCAGGAGCCCACCAAAGTGGCAACAGCTGCGCAGTTCGCAGCCTTCCAGGGAGCAGCGCAGGAGGAGGTAGGAGGAGGGGGAGAGGCGGGAAGGGGGAGGAAGGGCAGGATGGAAACCACAGTGCTATTCAAAGCGGGACACCAACACAGGAGGCTTATGAAGTATGCGAGGGCGCGACAGCATCACAGTAGCTGGGCGAGAACCTAACAATAAGCAGCTCTACAGGGGTCCGCGTCGGGAGTACAGGTGCAGCCCAGACACTGACATGAGGGCCAGTCTGGGCTCAGGAGGGGCTCTGTTTTCGGGCCGTTCCTTAGACCTGGGTCGGGGAACCCATTCGTGGCCGAAGCTCGCCGCGGCCAGGACAGCCCCTCCGTTCCTCAGTTGGGGCGACGCAACACAAGGGAGTCGTCTTCACCGACATTGGCGCGTAAGCGTCTTGCCTAAGGTGGTGCTCCAGCGCCTTCGTTTCCAATGCAGCGTGCCGTGCCCGTGGCCCGCGTAAGCCACCGCGTAAGGTTGGCATGGCATCTCGCGTAGGACCCGTGTCTTTTCGTCGCTCACCGTGCGTTCCTCGTTGATCAGCACGCTGGCTGCAGCGGCGGAGGCAAGGCAGAGGCGGCGGAGGGGGAGGCGGGGCGGAGGCGGCGCAGGCGAGGCATACGTGGAGGGGGCTTGCGGTCCCGGCGGCGCGAGCCCGCACGTGAGCACCCAGAATCTTGGCATCGTTCGGACGTGAGATCTTTCATTTGCGAGGACTGTTTCTTTTCTTGTGCACTTTGGAGGGAAAGGTACTCGGTACCTCGTGGTAACCCCACGGAGCATCGTGCCGTGCGCGAGAACAAACGCACGACACCGGCAAACGCATGAACGTGCGAGCTCGGGAGCCTTGAGACGGGGGTCAATGCAAACGGGGGTCAGCCAGGACACCTGATCCTGCAGGATCCTGCGAAGACCCCCTCTGGCTGACCCAGGGTAGCGAGCCGCTCGTGGCCGCGAGGCGGCCATGCTTATTGGCTGACCCGCATTTGCGAAGACCTGCGTTGCAGTTTTTTGTCCTGCATTGCAGTTTTTAGTTTCCTGCAAACCTGAGTCTGGATTGACCCGGTTCAGAAGATCCCCGACGAGCGATGGCAGGTAAACCTAAATTTCGCCTTTGTTTTCTTTGTTCCTTTTGTTGGGTAGCTAGTGTCTTCTCTTCTCCTTCCGTGTCCCTCAGCCTTCCCTCCTCCTGTATTCCCTCAACCTGCACCTCGTCGTCGTCCTCCTCTTCCTTTCCTGCCTTCCTTTGGGTACATTTGGGGGTCATCGAGAGGGGAAAACGCCAAGACCGTCAATTTCAAGTTGATGGATCAATGCGCGTTTTCAGTTCGAATTGCCGTCAAAGTTTCTTTTCAATTGTAACAGGTGTGTCGTCACATGCACACAGTACATGAGTAATTTACAAACAGACTTTCACACGAAACCTTGGTGCATACTGAAAGAGCGGTGTTCGAGCAGGAGGTCTTCGGGAGTAGATTCAGAAAACATGGAATGACAAGATGAGAACGCAGCCGCTGCGTTGTATGAGTATACGCAGAGGGGGGCTGCACTTGCAACGTATGTTGTGTGTGTGTGTGTGTGTGTGTCTGTGTGTGTGCGTGGGGGGGGAGGAAGGGGGGAGGGGGGGGCAGCGTTGGGTAATTGCGTACAGATGAATTTTCTCCTCCCCCTCCTCCCTCCTCTCTCCTCCCTCCTCCTCCCTCCTCCTCCCCCCGCGCTCCTCCATTGTCCTCATTCTTCCTGCCTCGTTTCGGGCGCCCCCTCTGTGTCCCGTGGCAACTGACGGAGCGAACATCAAGTCAGCCACTTGGCGACAACATAAAACATTTCAATCAACATGCGGCCCCGAAATGCGAGACGGAACATTGGAGAGACTGCCATCGCCAACCATGGCCATGCAATCGCTGTCGGGGAAGCGCAGTAGACATTTGCGAGGAACCGGAATCTGTTGCAACCCCCGAAACAACACACCCGATTGGAGTACGAACGCCAGAGAGGGGGATATCAGTAGCCATTTGGGCTCATGATTGTCGTCGTGATGTTTTCCACATCTTTATATTTGTGTTGCGCTGTGCTCACCTGCTTGCGTGCAATTGTTCTGGCGTCGGCATCTTGACTGACGTCGGCATGGCGTCGGCATTTTGACTGCACAAGATGTGGACATGGTCCATGCGGCAGCACAACAGGCCCCTGCGGCAGCACTGCTCATTGTGTCACAGCGCGTTCCAGATCAAATCGGTGCCCCAGTCGCTATAGTTGTTCGTACTGTTTCCACAGGCCAGGACAACGCCCAACATAGTGTGTTGGTAGTGCCATTGCCCGCTGTGAACGCCAAGCGTAAGTATGTCAACAGCAGATGGGATAACGTTCGACATGCCAGTGGATACAAGAAGGCGAAACGTCACAACGAAGACATCGAGAAGCAGCCTCAACAAGTGAATGCTTCCGACGCTATGTTGCAAGTCGCAGCAACATTGGCCCCAGCAGTTGCAAACATCGTCGACTCCACTCCCAGCCAGATTGGCCGCAAATGTGTCGACACGCTGAACCCTCGAGACTTCTTGAGCCTGACACGCGCGGAAGTCGTGGAACCCTCTGTCGGCGAGGCACTTGGCGTCAAGCACCAGAGAGGTAGTGCAGCAGCAGCGGGATTGATCATCGAGCGGCAGCGGCATGCAATGTATTGTATGATTGTGACGCCGAACGCTACGTCACGTCGGCTTGATCATATTCGCACCCACAGTGATTTTGCACACCTGTACGATGAAGCTCGGGTCACGTTCCGCCGATTTCAGGGGACAGGTCGAAGTTGGAAGATGGGAGCGCGCGTTCAAACATTGGTTCGGCGAGGATCTTTCTCCATGGCGATTAGCGACGCTTCCACGGGCAAGCACAGCTATGCAACCGAGACTTGGCTGGTCAAGCCAATCGGGCTGGACGGCACCTATGCTGCATCATTGTTCTTGGAGTTGAGAAATCAATGCGCGTGCACATTGTAGTGGCCTCCGGCCGGCGCCGCCGATCCGGGGCGCTACCGATTCTGTTTGCAACGGAGGACCTCTTATGTTTAAGCAGAGCACTCGCTCGAGACATCCTCGTATCATAGAGATGTTGAATTCGCCGGGATAACCATCGGATATTCGAAAGTGACGATCTCGCATGAACAGCCGAACTCATGGGATGCCCCGTTCGCTCTCCGGGCCTGAATGGCGTCAGCCATGGCGACAGCCACGCCCCCCCCCCCCCAATTTCCCTGTCCCGGGCCTGACTGGCGTCGCCCCCCCCCCCCACCCCACCCCCCACACCACCACCACCCTCCAGATCCCGCCCCCGGGCTTGAATGGCGACAGCCATGACGTCGCCCCCCCCCCCCCCCCCCCCCCCCCCCCCCCCCCCCTCACCCGATTTCTGTCCGCCGGGCCTGAGCGGCGTCAGCCATGCCCCCCCCCCCCATCCGCCTTCTTTTTTTCCTGCCCACGGCGCCCCCCCTCTTCCCCCCCCCCCCCCGACGGCAGAGCGAGCCCCCCCCCCCTCCAAGCTCGCGCGTTCAGCGAATTGCTTGGGAACTTGCGCCCCCCCACCTTTTTTCGAGAGCTCGTGCGTTGCATTGGTGCCCCCCGCCCCCCCCCCCCCTTCCAGAGCGCCCCCCACCCCCCCCCCTTCCCCTTCTTTCCAGAGCTCGCGCGTTCGCTGAACTCCGCTGGGACCCCCCCCCTTCCAATGGGAAGCTTGGGCGAGCTTGGAAATTCCCCCCCGCCCCCCCCCTCTCCAGAGCTCGTGCGTTCGCTGAATTAGGGTTGAAATTCGCGTTCCCCCCCCCCCCCCGCTCCTTTCCAGAGCGGAGTGCCCCCCCAACCCCCCTTCTCCAGAGCTTGTGCGCTCGCTGAATTTAATTGGAACTCGCTCTCCCTCCCCCCCCCCCTCCCCCAGGGTGAAGCTCGAGCGAGCTCGAGCCCGCGCCCCCGCAAACTCACGCGCCAGATCGGCGGATTTCCGAGAGGGGCTTCTTCGAGTTGGAAAGAACATTGCGGGGCGCCAGCCACGCGTGCATCATGCCCATGTCAAGGCCTCGGGCAACACATCTCTGATGAAATTATGGGGGGGCATTCCTGGTGTTTCATGGCTCAGGTGGCACCAGACATTGGCACGCGAGTTCTTCGTTGGCCAGACTGCACGGCGGCCGCCTTCATCACAGAGGGAACAAGTATGACTGGATGCGTTTCGGGTGCACTTTTCGCGGTCTTACAGCATTGCAAATTTGCACCTGACGCACGAGCCAACGCGGCCCCAGGTATGGAGTTTCACGCGCGCCGCAAACTGAAGAGAAAGATCGGACCGCCGCCTCGCGCAGATCTCGCCTTGCGCGCGCTCGCGACCGCCATGTTCGACTTGGAGGGGAGTTGCCGTAGGCGTGGACTCAACGGCGCACGGCGTTCCCAGTGATGCAAGGTTATTTTTGTTGTTGAGAAATGGCGAGCTGCGATCTCGGCGACGGCGGGTAGCGGGCGCGCCCCTGCAAGGGCGGGGGGCGTTTTGGGACTTGCTGCGCGAGCGACGAAGAGTGCAGGCAAACTAGCGCGGATGCACGTATTATTTACGCCATGTCTGACAGGGCAGGGGCACATGGGCGCAGAATTTATAGAGTTTTCGCATGGTGTGTTTGCGATGGGTCGCGTTCCACGATGGGTTGTAAATCTTGGCCCTGGCCCCCGGAGACCAGGGGGCCGCCGTGGGCGGGGGGGGCCCGCGCCAGTCAATCGCCTGCCGAGGGCAGGCAGCGTCGGCCCCTTCTTCGTCGACGCCGACGATTCGGCGGGCCAGGTCGCCGAGGCGGCGGGCCCCCAGGCGCTGGGCCATGGGGGGCAATTGATTGCGAAGCTCCAGTTGGCGAAGGCGCCCGCCGCTTGGAAGCTGGGCGCCCAGGCGCACCGCGCGACTGCGGAGCTGAAGAAGCTGACAGACAAGGGCAAGGACCAGTGGAGCAGGCTCAGCATGCACATGGTGACGTACGAGCTCGCGAACAAGCTCCGCGAGTCCAACTTCTTCAGCGTCTCGACCGTGGACGTCAAGGGCGCCTCCGAGCGCCTGCGCCAGTCCATGGATATACCGCCCGTCGCCACGAAGACCTCGCGCAACAGTGCATTCCAGGATCGCGCGACAGTCGAGGTCCAGTCCAGTCCGACGTCAACTGCTCCTTCGAGCCGGCGTGGCCACGGCCCACATCCTCGCGGGAAGGCGGGCCTGCGCCCCCCGCGGATTTGACTGGGCTCCACTTTGCGGGCGTCGCGGTGCTCGAGAAGGCCGCGACGTTTCGCCGCGTGTTCGTCGGCGGCGCGCGCGTTGCATTGATCGTGGGAGGCCGCAATTATATGGATATGCTGGTGGAGGTGTCTGCCTGGATGGCTTCGCCGATGAACGAGCTGCTGGCCGCCGCTGAGGTGTTCTGCGAGGACGCGTCGCAGTTCTCGGGCGCGCCGGGCCCCGCGGTGGGCGGCGTCGCCAAGGTCTGCGACCCGGCCGGCCTGTGGTAGGCGGGCGACATCGAGAGGTACTACAGCGACCCTGCCTCGCTAGACTCCAGCCGCAGCCGCGGGGGGATCTACGGCGGGCTGGGAGGTTTGGCGACCGCCGTCGGCGTTCGCGCCGAGTGCAACAAGATGCGGGCGCCCCTGACGAAGAGCAGAGGCGCGGCCATGGAGCTCCCCCCCCCCCCCCCGCAACATCCATGGCCGCCTTCTCAGAGTCGGTGGTGCACGCGCCCCTGGATTTCGACTTCGTCGGTTGTTTCTTCGACCAGGAGATGTAGCTTGACGCGGAGCGGCTGGGCTTCGGGCCAAGCGCCAGGCTATCGCGGCGAAGGTCGAGGCCTACGTGCGCGGCTTTCCCGACGGCGCGAAGTGGATGCACGCCCTTGGCCCAGCCAACCTCACCGCGCGGAAAAACAACTTACTGGGCCCTTCCGGTAGCGCGATATTGCCTGAGGAGATGAGCAAGGCCATCGGTCTTTTGAAGAAGGACTTGGACGCCGCCGAGACGTTGGCACGGCGCCCTCTCCGGCTATGTTGATCTAGCGTGCGCGGGCTCTAACGGCTGAACAGTTCTGGCCGTGAGTTTGCGTTTCCTCGGGGCGCGGGCGCGCGTCGAGGAGGGCGGAGGAAGGAACGCCGTTCAACGGTTGGCCTGAAGCTACCGCCGCGCGGCGTTCCCTCCTCCACCCTCACCCTGCAAGGCGATGGCTTACTGGTAGTGCGAGGTTGGGAAATGCAGGTTGCGGGTCGAGGGGGACCATGGCTACCGGGGGGGGGGGGGGCAGGGGTTCTCGCTAACGGGTGGGTGACGGTTGTGACGGGCAGCTTGTTCGCGGCTTTCAAGGAAGCGGCTGGCAAGCAGTCGCCCAGGGCAACGGGAGTAGAAATTACGAGCCCCCCAGAAAGGGGCACGGCATTGCGAGCGAGCGTTTTCATCCTGGCTTGCCGTCGAGGGTGCAGATGTCCATGCAATCCAAAATTAATTTGCAGCTAGTGAAGTTGCTCGGTCCTGGGGAAAGGTGCTGAACGAGCTGCCACTTCGGCGCGCCAGCCCGCGCGCCGCGAGTGCTCGCAGACGCCGCGCGCGCGTCGAGCTCGCGCGCGAGGCGCGCGCGCAGAAACGCGCCAGCACCCCCCCGGAACGCGCGGGCACGCAGCGCGCCGCGCGCAGGCACGCGCGCACGCCGCGCACTCACGCGCATGCTCGGCCCTGGTTTCAGCCCCAGCAACCAGAGAGTTCAGCGGGGTTGCATGCCGCATCGGGGCCCGATTGGTCTCTGCAGTCAGGGCGCGGCTACTCTCGATCGCTAGGCTGGTACATGCCAAGTAATGCGCACGGCGGCGCGCGCGGGCGGGGGGGGGCGGGGTCGGGGAAGGATGCGGATGAGGATTGGCAAGGACCTCCCCTGCCCTCCTCGTCGTCTCCCGCGCCCTCGGATCGAGGGGGGGCGACGGCAGCGGCGCTGTCTTCGCCCCCCCCCCCCCCCCCCCCCCATCTTTGGCCCTTCCCCGCCCGCCTACCCCCCGCCCCCATTCGGCGTCGAGCGACGACGTTTCGGGCCCGCCCCCTTGCGCTGCCGACCGCCAGCGCGGTGACATCCCTTCGACTGCGCATGCGCCTTCGACCTTTGAGGTCGTCGAATCGGCGTCGCCGGGCGTAGATGAGCAGCTGAACCAGGATGTGCATGCGAATTGCAAGTGCGCTGCAAGCTCGCGCTGGTCTGGCAGAGAACGCTGCCCCCCTGTAGCGCAGACAGTGCCACTTTGACGAGCAATCTTGGATTGCGAAATCTGCGTCGCAGATCTTCGTGCTCGAGGCCGCTCTCCTGAATCGGGCTGAGGTGCCCGAGCCCGCGGCCCGTCTGCGTCTCAGACCGCCTCATCCTCCACCTCCATCGTCGCCATCCTCTCGCCATCCGCTGGCGCGTCAGGGCACCCATGGTGGCATCTATGTATATGCGTTCCCATGCCCCCCCACCCCCCGCCCCTCTCCCGCCCCCCGAGGGCCCGAGGGCCGCTCGCACGAGACAGCAGCGCGCCGCCGCGCAGACAGCAGCGCACGAGGGGGAGAGGGCGGGGGAAGGGAAGCGAGGGGGAGAAGGGGGCGGGGGAGGCAGGCGGGGCGACGGGGCGAGGGCGGCGGGCGGAGGGGGGGGCGCCCCCGCCCCGCCGCCCGCGCCCGCCCGCTGCGGTGGAGCGGCCGAACGGCGAGCAGGACGCCGTGGGGGCGGGGGGGGGCGTGGCGATCGTCGCCGCCGTCGACGATCGCCGTCGTTCGTCGGATGTTGAACGCCGACCGCCGGTCGTCAACGGGCGGCCGACGAGAACGATCGACGACCGACGGCGATCGTCGTCGTCGGTCGGCGGCGGCGGCGCTTCCCTCGCACCGCCTCTTCTCCCTTCCGCCCGCCCGCCTGCCGCGCCCGTCGTCCCCCCCATCGACCCCCTTCCCCGTGTTGGCGTCCTCTCCTCCCTCTCGTTCCTTGTCTCCCCCAGCTCCTCGCGGCCCCCCCCCTCCCCATCCCTCCTCCCCACCCTCCTCTTCATCCATCTGCCTCCGCTGCCCTTCCTCTTCGGCGCCCGTTTATCTCCCCATCCCCTCACCCCACCGATTCTCTCCCATCCTCGCCTTGCCCCTCCTCCTGCCCTCCTCCTTTCTCCCTTCCTTCCTTCTGCCTTTGCAGCTGCGGCAATGTTGGCTCAGTGCCGTTTGGTTCACAAGTTTTCCGCCCGCGGTTCAAATCGGGGCGCGGGTTGGTGGCCAGTGGCCAGTCCCCCTCGCGCACGTTTTCTCGTTTGGCGCTCGCGCGTCGGTTTGCAGCGCGTTGGTTGGGCGGCGCGCGACAAACGCGCGCCGCCCCCAGCGTCGCGTTTCAGTTCTGGGGGAGGACTCCCGTTGCGTTCGCGGTCCAGTTGTGCCGGAACCTTTCGTTGTTTTTTTTCTCCGCGACAGTCGCGCAACGACGTTTTGTTTTGAGGCTCTTCCTCGCGGCTGCCCGACGACTGTTTTGATATTGTTGACTGCGTTTCCCAATCAATCCTGGAGGAGGACGCGGGTATCATAACCTTTTCCTTCTCCTCCTCCTCCTCCTCTTCTTTTTCCTTCTCCTCCTTCTCGTCTTCGCCTTACTCGTAGGGGGTATGATGCGTGCCCGTGGTGTCTGGCATATCAATTTCTTTTCAAAAGGCGGAAAGTGGTACCCATGCCGCTACCCTTGCCTCGCGTTCGCCTTTTTCAGGCTTCCTGGGAGGCCCTCGTCGCCGCCGCTCGATTCGCATCGAAATTCTCGTCGTAACGCACCCCCGCAGTGATTCGGGGAGTAACAGTATCGGTACCGCTCGGTTCCGCCATGTTCTCTTCCCTTCCCTCCCTTGAACAATCTACGGCGGGAGTATGCCAGTCGCTCCTTCGTTCTCAAAGCCCCCCCTCTGTTTTCCCCCGTGCCTGCTGTTGCCCCGTCTCCCCTCTTCCTCCTCCGCCTCCTCCTCCTGAGGGGAACAAGGCAAACAAAAGTAATCGTCGAGTCCAGAGAAAATCTGGGAAGTGAAGGGGGAAACGAAACTGCATAATTTTAACAATATAGGAAGTCCTGGTGTTTGTGTCTATTTGTTTGTGTGTCCCTAGGCCCCATGCTCTCCGTAATCCTCGACCCCCGCAGGCGCTGCTTGAGTTCAAGAATCTGAAGGCCCCGCCGCGCCGCCAGCCATCGGAAGCGGCAGATTCGCCGCCCGCTGTGGCTTCCTCCTGCTCCTCGTCCTGATACTCCTCCTGCTTGTCCCCGAAAGACAAGCAACGGCATAAAGATAAACTTTTGGTGGTCCTCGCGGATTTCTTGGGTCTGCGTTGGGGCCACTGGCGGCGCCTCCGGCGCAGCCCCTGGCGCGAGGGGGCCCGGCGCAAATCCAAGAAGTCCGCGCGGACCATCGAACGCTCATGCTTATCCGCTTGTTCTTTCTCTGCTGATCCCCCTCCTGCTTTTCCGCCTGCTCATCGTGCTTGCCCTTTGTTGTTCCTGTTCCACCTCCTCGTGCTCCTCCTGCTGTTCCACCGCAGGGTGCTCCGCAGCTGGAGGCTCGCTCGCCCACTCCTGCTGTTCCACCTGAACGTCCTGCGACTGCCTTCCTCGCTCTCCCCGTGATCTTCCTTAACATGCTCAGGTTCCCCATCGGAGTCCGCCTCGCGTTGAGAAAAAGCTTCAGTAACAGATACGGGGCAACGAGCGAGAGAGATGCATTGTCCTTTGGCCACACAGGCCAGCAGCGCGTGCGGTACATCTTGAAAAGAGAAGTTGATGCATATGGTATTTGCGGAGATGGTCTTACGAACATGCGAATCCCGACAGAAAGGCGATGCTAGTTAGAAATACCGTCGGAAGTCTTCACGCGTCGCGTATCCCAACCAGCCCATTTAGAAACCCTGCTCATGAGAGCAGACGCGAAACAGGGACGACGAGACATACAGGCCCTCTGAGGTGCCCGAGACATACAGGCCCTCGGGGGTGCCCTGGAGGGCCTTTTGGACATCTCGGCGTCTATCGATCAAAGGACGGGGGGTCCTCGATTTCCGCCACCCCCAACAAACACAAAGCCATCATTATCGCATAGTTGGGCGCTCTTGGGCCGATCGTATGCGCTCTTGGCGCCGTTTTGGTTGGCCCCTCTTGGGCCTCGCTTGGGCTACATGTTGGGGCCACCTTGAGGCATCAAAAGCGAACCGCAAGCGAAAAGGCGAGAAGAAACAAACCATTGCTTTTAACTTGTCTGAAATATGTTGGCCTCTTTCAGGGGGGTTCCTGAGGGGGCTTCGAGAGCACTTGGATCCGTCCTGTGGCCCTCGTCGGGCCTCTTGGAGGTATGTTTGTTGGAAGCTATCTTGAAACATAGTCGGCAATCATGAGACGCTTTGGAGGCCGTTTGAGAGCATAGGAGGCCCTCGCAGAGTCATCTTAGACCCCATGCCACCTCTCGGACTCCACCAAAGCATCTCAGGGAGGGTACTGCTCCCCGGAGGGAAGAGGGTTTTCGGAAGAGCAATGACATATTCCGTCAGACCACCTTATCCCAAACCGATGGTGAGATTTTTCCTCTTGGGCCGTCTTGGCGCCCTCTCGGGCTGTCTCGGCGCCCTCTGGGGGGCCCTTTGTGCCGTCTTCGGGCCATCTTTGCGCCCTCTTGGGTCGTCTTGGGGCGTCGGGGACCCCGAAAAGGCGAGAACGCCCAAATCCTTCAAAAACCCTGGGCGAGTCAATGGAGTGGTCTTGAAGGTCTCTTGGGGCGTTCTGGAAGCCTCTTCGACCGTCTGGAGGCCATCTTGAGCGTCTTGGAGCAGAATTCTTCACGGTTCGCGTATCCCCACCAGCCCATCTCAAAACAGCAACTCTAGCGAAGCATGGCGACAGTTGTGTTTTTCAGGCGTGTTTCCGCCTGCCCCCGCATATCTCCCCTGTTCCTCCTTCCTCCCGCCTCCTTGTACGTCCTCATTGTGGTGGGAGCGGGAGAAGGACGAGGCGGAGGAGGAGGGAGAGAAAGCGCTCCTCGTGGTTTGAGTCGTTCGGGCTTCTCGTCCTGGTGTGAGTCGTTCGGGCCCTTCTTCCTGGTGTGAGTCGTTCGGGCTCTTCGTGGTGTGAGTCGTTCGGGCTCTTCGTCCTGGTGTGAGTCGTTCGGGCTTCTCGTGGTGTGAGTTGTTCGGGCCCCTCGTCCTGGTGTGAGTCGTTCGGGCCCCTCCTCCTGCCCGTCCAGAAACGACGCCCAGGCGAGTAGAGGGTCGTCCTGATGGGCTTTTCGGCGTCTTGGGTGCCTCGGGGGGGCCTCTTTGGGCCGTTTGGGATCCTCTTGGGGGCCTCCTGGGGGCCTCTTGGGGCCATCTTGGGGCCTCTTGGTGCCTCCTGGGCGCTTCTTGGGGCCATCTTGGAGGAAATCGATCAAAGAAGAGGGGAGCTTTAATTAGCGCTGCCCCCTCAGACAAAATGGTGCCAAAACCTTAGTAAAATCAATGATTTTGGCTTGAAAGAAGAGGGGAGCTTTAATTAGCGCTGCCCCCTCAGAAGGCCTAAATGGGGCCAAAACCGTAGTAAAATCAATGATTCTGGCTTCAAAGAAGAGGAGAGGGTTTTTTCTCCCCCCCCCGTCGGGGCCAGAATCCTCGTGAGGGGTGTCGTTTTTTAGCCCTCCCAGGAGTCGAAAAAGACCCCTCCAACGACCCGCGAAACCCCCTCTCCAGGCCCAGGGGGAGGGGGTAGGGGGAGGGGTAAACCCCTCCCCGAAGGGGAAGAAGGGGGGTTGAGAACAGAGAGAGCTCCCTAAACCACTCACGCCCAAAGGGCTGGTGGGATTTTGAAGCTTCGGGGCCCTCTTGGATCGTCTTGGGGCCTCCTGGGGCCCACCTGGCCTGCTTTCAGTCCCTCTCGGGCCCGAACGGGTCATGCGGGAAGACGCGACGGGGCCCGGGAGGCACGCGGCGCGCCCAAGGGGGTCACGCGTGGAGCCCCAAGAGATGTGGCAATCCAGGGTCTGGGGCCTCGAGAGGAGTCCGCAGGACTGAGGGCTGAGGCTCCGGGGGAGCCATCAATGGACCTGAGGACATTCCAACTCGTGCCTCAGGGCACGGTGGCGGAGAGAGAGGGAAAGGAGAGCGAGAGAGGAGAGAGAGAGAGAGAGAGAGAGAGTCATTGAGAGAGAGAGAGAGAGAGAGCGAGAGCGAGGGAGAGAGATGGAGAGAAAGAGAGACAGGTAGAGAGAGAGAGAGAGAGACAACAAACAAAAAGAGAGCGGATGGCTACATCACGTGCAGGAAGAAAGCATTGCTGTGCATGTCGTGTTGTGTCGTGCTCCCGTGTGTACCAGCCTCTCGCAGATACACCCCCAACGCAGGGGGGGGGGGCGCTCACCTCTCCGCCCTCTGCATCTCAGCATCGTTGCGGGTCATTTGGAATGCAGGCTTGGTACCGATTCCAGGTTGTTTTCTTCTAGCAGGTCCCCCCCGTTCATACCCCCTCAGGTCCGCAGTATTTTGCGCGCTTGTCTGTGCCTCCTCCCCCGCGGCCCCCTTGAGCTGTGCACTGAAGGCCCTCTACTTGCACGGGAACCAGATCAAGTCTCTCCCGTCCGTCGAGCGTTTGAGAAAGTTCTTCGCGGGGGGGCAGTCCGAGTGGCGTCTCCAGTTTGTGTAGATACGCCCGCGCGATGGCTGCTCGATGTTGACTGGCGGCTGGATTCGCCCCGCGCCGTCTCGCGCCACCGCTGCACGCCGCCACATATTGAAATTTGTTGGCAATTTGAGGGCGAGCGTGGAAGGCTCCCAGGTGGTGAACACCTGTCTTGGAAGCAGTAGTTCCTCATGACGGGCAGCAGTTCGCTTCGGATCGCTGCGCGCAGGTCTCGGCTCGACGTCGAAAGGTTGGAGAGCTGGCACAGCACAACCAGCACTACCAAGGCCCAGGCAGATCGCAAAACAAAGTCAGCATGCGCCGTCTTTTTCTCATGTCGCTGGGCTTCACTATTGAAGAGAGCCCGCCCTTCGCCTCCACAACTAGCCCATAGGCACTACAACCTTGATGGGACCCGCCGGCGTCCATGCTGTACTGGTTTGATCAAGATTCGGCACGTCGACAGGATTTTGGCCTCCCAGGTGGGGTCAGAGTACATGGGGTCGGAGGGTCGCGACGCATCGCCGATGCATCGGTGATGCGGCTCGATGTGGAGCCCGAGTTACCACACACCGAAGTCGCCGAAGTATCGCCGACGTCGCCGGTGCATCGCCGATGCAAATAAAATGCATCGACGATTCGGCGCGGTGCCCGGACCCCATCTGGGGGGGCGGCACAGTGGGGCCCCACGCAGTCCCCAACAGGACCTCGCCAACCCTGGGGGGGTTGCGAAGTGTGAGATTGGTGCTATGTTCGAGGGCTGCTGGGGGGCCAACACAGTGGGGTCCCACGCAGACCCACACGGAACCTCGCCATCCTTGGGGGGGCGTGCGAAGTGTGAGTTTGTCGTCTTTTTGGAGGGCAGCTGGGGGGGGGCCGCCGCAGTGGGGTCCCACGCACTCCCAGACAAGACCTCGCCATTCCTGGGGGGGGGGGGCGAAGTGTGAATATGTTGCTATCTTCGAGCAGATCCCAAGAAGACCTCGCCATCGCTGGGGGGACTGCGAAGTGCGAATATGTCGCCGCTTTCGAGGGCTGCCGGCGCGCCTGCGCGCGTTTGGTGCTCGCACCAAGAGGGGCAAGGAGGAAGCGGAGAGGCTGGAGGGCGAGCTAGGTTTTGACGGCTTTCAATTTTCGGAAGCGCTGCAGCAACGCGGAGTGTTGGCCGCGCAGGTGATCAGAATTTCGGCACGGATGAACGCGACTTTTCATTTTCTGGTTGTGTCTCTGCCTATGTGACTTGATCTTGCCCATGCTCCATCATCTCGCTGCTTCTGCCGAGGTGATTGTTTTTGTTTCCCACCCCGATGTTTTAATTGTGCTTATCTTTCCTTGTACAATGCCTTCTGGCCTGTTGCACCTCTGCTCTGCGAGTCGTCCATGCACACTTCGCACGATGGATGTATGCGCCGTGCCCCGTCTCTTGCAGCGTTCCTGTCGCGCGATTGTCGGCACCCCTTATATCATCCCTTGGTGTCGATGGGTTGGGTACGTCGCAGAGTAAGTTTGCCTTTTTTGGCCTCCTGGGGCAGTTCTCGGGCACTGGGACCGTCAACAAAAGATCAGGGGTACAGACTTGCACCACATGGACCCAGGCAGAGGCCCGGGGACCGATTTTGAGCGGAATAGGCTTCATCGCGCCCTCCCGACCGATCCCTTGAAGGCCCAGCCAATTCAGGCCTCCTTGCCGCCTCCCAGGTTGACGCGCAAAGGAAGCTGATTCCAGGCCTGGTCGGCTTGAACGTCCCATGTTTGCCACCTGGCTGTGCAACTCGACCTTGGCTTCCCCGCGCAGGCGCCTGGGGCGTGGTAGGTTCGCGTCGTTTTGGCCGATGGCGACCCCGTCGCCGGCGTTCAGCGTTGAACGCCGACGGTGACCCAGATGTTGAGATCAGTCGTTTCGGAGTCGGCCGATCGTTCAAGCGGTGTCATAAACGAAGCCAACGCAGAAGCCGGCACGACACGAACCTGCCGCACATCCCTTGGACGGGATGGCGTTCCACTCCTGGGACCCGGGCAGCGGAGGCTTCCCAAATTGATCTCGCTCACGCTCAACGGCAACCACATTGAGCGGGCGCTCTCGTATCGGATGTACGTGATAGGCGTGGATTCTTCCTTGTTGGCTCTCCGAGCGCCCGGGCAAGCCACGGGCGAAGGGCTTGTACTCAACCGCCCCTTCCACGCCCGCTTGCGACCAAAGATGGGGTCGCCCCATCTGGGTCGCAAGGGGAAAGAAGGGGAGGGAGGGGACAGAGGGAGAGAGAGACAGAAAGAAAAAGGAAGGAGAGGGGGATGAGAGGAGGAAGGAGAAAGAAGAGAATAGGAGATGAGAGGGGGGAACGGCCCACCATGGGCCTTCCCCCCTCATCCATTCTCTCTCTGTCCTCCCTCCTCATCCTTGCCCCGCACGGCTCGCA